AACTCTTAATAAACCCCTGTTGTAAACTCTTAATAAACCCCTGTTGTTAACTCTTAATAAACCCCTGTTGTAAACTCTTAATAAACCCCTGTTGTTAACTCTTAATAAACCCCTGTTGTAAACTCTTAATAAACCCCTGTTGTAAACTCTTAATAAACCCCTGTTGTAAACTCTTAATAAACCCCTGTTGTAGAAAAGGGTAAAATGTTAAATACATGATTGTTTAATGTTTAGCTATTATTAACCTAAGCAAATATTTGACTAGATATGTTTGTTGTTAAAACTCCAGAACAGGAAACTGAAATGTTTGGAGACTCAGTATCAATCATTGATTTCATGCATTTTATGCAGATCTATGGGTTAATTTACTTCATCTTTGTGGCCATACCCTGCAGAGATAACTTCAATTGAGATATCAAGCATCAAATACCAAAATTGTATATCTAGATAAAGTGTTCAAGATTAACTGTCTCCATACAAAAGTTCCGATCTCTGTTAATATATTGCTATGTATCGAAAAACACGCTTATCTTAACCTTTAAGGTTTTTCTTTAAGATCCTTTTAAAAGTCAAAATGGTTAGGTTGTCTCAACTAACTTTATCATGTAGTGATTGATGACTTAAATAATATCTTTTGATTCACACGAAATTGTTTTGTTTTCGGGATTTTCAAATGTAGTCTGCCATTTGACTTTTCTAATCTAGAATTTGAAAATATACAAATTTCTTAAATCTTCTTCAATATTTAGAATGGAATACAACATTAAGAAGAGCATTTATCATAATAAATATATCCTTTTCGATAGAAATTTTAATCTTTATTATTTTATTATCAATCTAAATTCGCAGACTGTGTTTAATTTCCGTGGAAGTAGGTTAAACTATAAATGACTTGAGAAAAAATTAATAAATTGAAAATTAAAAACTTGATGATACGTAACCACGATGTATAGTAGCTCGACTTCAGAAATATTTAAGTGACTATTGCTAAACGTATAAAAAAGACCCTTCTTGCTAACTTCAATACAATCAAAATACTTTCAATGTCGCAAAGGAATTTAGTCTTTGCCACAAACTCAACTTTTCTAATCACAATATCTTTGCAACCTGATGGTATAAACCTTTGATATTTCAATCTTCGACTATTTGATCTAACAGAATTCATAGTTTGAAAAATCTAAGGTCTATGACATATTAGGTTGCAAGGATAAAGTGATGAGAAAATCAATGTTTCGGTCACATTTTAAAAAAATTTTGATTGGTAGGGTTTTGATATTGCTAAAGTTTTAATATCCCTTTAGACGAAATGTCAAGTTTGCGGTGAATAATTGATCAAAACTTGAAAACTTTTTTATGTATTTATGCCTTCTTAGACATATCTAAACCCATACTGTAAATATATATTCACATTTTGTTGATGATTTAAACATTATTATGCACTAAGCAGTGTCCCACAAAACATGACAATTAAAAGACGACTTAAAGATTATTTTTCAAATAATTTTCGGCAGTCGCTCGTCAGCCTATAAAAGCCTTAAAACAATAATTATAAGATTCCCCTAGTTCTAGCATTTCCGAAATGTGGTCTGACCTTCTTGTGTTTTCAGTTCGTGTTTTGGCTTAGATTTAAATTTAATTAATAATACCTAGATTGTCGAAATCTGAATAAAATTCATCATAACTCGGGTAACTATGATATCACAGAATAATATTTTTTAAAAACACATTTTCTACATCTTTTTAGGTATGGACAAACTTGATTAAATAAAAGCAAGTAGAGCCAATATTTTATTTATTTGATCCAGTTTTGAGTCATTAACTAGATTATTACTCATCTTAATTACATAATTGATACACATATTGTCTTTTTATTGATGTCGATCTTTTTATTACGGGGGTTAATATCACATATTAGTAAACACACTTATCATTAGGTTATGAGAAGCCCAGGTTTGATCCTTAAATTCTAGATACCGGAGCAAGATTGGGTTTTAAACATCTGTGCTCCGGGTGCAAATTTGTCTCAACTAGACAGAACGGACATGCTCCGTGCTATCAAGTTGATTTAGGAGCTTAGTGTCTCAAGGTGTACGGAAACATCAAAGTTCCTTGTGTACATAAAAAGTTTATTGTACATCAACAAATGTACTGCATACAGCGTACAAGAACAACATGGTTAAAATCGTGTATGCAAGCATACACAACCAACCAAAAAATGTTGCTGTTTGCAGTACATGAGTGAATATGTACATAAACTCTAGGTACATGTTATTGTACTCGTATCGTCTACTCCATGTCGTGTTCAGCCTCGTCGTCAAATTCCTCCTCGATATCAGCAGTAGCCTCCTGATACTGTTGGTACTCGGACACCAGGTCGTTCATGTTGGACTCAGCTTCGGTAAACTCCATCTCGTCCATACCCTCCCCGGTGTACCAATGGAGGAAAGCCTTCCTCCTGAACATAGCGGTGAACTGCTCGGAGATCCTCTTGAAGATCTCCTGGATAGCGGTGGAGTTACCAACGAAGGTTGAGGCCATCTTGAGTCCTCTGGGTGGGATATCACAAACTGCGGTCTTAACGTTGTTCGGGATCCATTCGACGAAGTAGCTGCTGTTCTTGTTCTGGACATTCAACATCTGCTCATCGACCTCCTTCATGGACATACGACCACGGAACACGGCAGCAACTAAATAAATGTACGTTAGATATGAAAGGTCTGAGATGAAAATGATGAAAATGTCAAGAGGTCAGACATTGAAAATTATCCAAAGATCTTGATTCTCTAGACTGAAGATTATAAGGTGAGAATTCTGTCGGGAGAGAGAATTGAATTTGAATATCTCTGCAATGATTGAACTTGATTGATTGGAAATGATATTGAGAATAAATATCATGTTCTAATTTCAAAATTCCATGAAAATGACATGGAAGAATCCGTATAAGGACCTACATCTGGCATTTGAATTTGAAATTATACAAACTCTCTCAGTTTTCCTCATCCTATTCAAATCAATCTTATCTCTGATCCAAAAAAAAGTATTTCTAAATCAAACTTCAATGCGAATAATAATAACACTTCACTTAGGTTCCGATTATAATTATTAAAGCTGATGGGGGTTCATTGACAATTTCTAAGACAGATTAAATCAAATCTGTCTGTTAACCTTGAGGCATCTGAGTGAATCCCAAAGCAAGTTTAGAATCATAAAATTAAAAGCTGACCTGTAAGATATCTTCCATGCCTAGGATCACAAGCAGCCATCATGTTCTTTGCGTCGAACATCTGCTGTGTGAGCTCAGGAACACTGAGAGGTCTATACTGCTGGGATCCTCGGGCAGTGAGGGGGGCAAACCCGGGCATAAAGAAGTGAAGACGAGGGAAGGGAACCATGTTGACCGCCAGCTTCCTCAGATCAGCGTTCAATTGACCGGGGAACCTGAACACAAATATAGGCTAGAGAATTTTTAACGTGAGCCTCCATTTTTAGAGTGGCATGTCTGATCTCAACAGTACGCTTCAAACTTTTGTCTGATGGAAAGAATGAAAGAGTTCTCCATGATTTCTCTTTGAAAGATTGGTTATTTTTAATTGTGATTTATGTTTTCTCTTTAAAAGTGACTTGCGAATTTCTTGCAACAGAAAAATGGAGGAAATTGTGAGAATTATTTACTCTTATAAATTGGTTGGATAAAGGTTTAAGTCTGATTTATCTACTAGAAAGTAAATTTATTCGTCACCTGAGACATGTGGTGACACCGGACATAGTTAGAGAAACAAGATGATTCAGATCTCCATAGGTGGGGGTAGCCAGCTTCAGGGTCCTTTATTATTATTATTATTATTATTATTATTTTATTATTATTATCATTATTATTATTATTATTATTATTATTATTATTATTAAGAAGCAGATATCGTATAAAGCTTCGTTATCAATACAATATGTTTCATCTGTATTCTCCACCAGTTGATGAACAGACAAGGTTGCATTGTAGGGTTCAACAACGGTATCGGAAACCTTAGGAGAAGGAACTACGGAGTAGGTGTTCATAATCCTGTCCGGGTACTCTTCTCTGATCTTGGAGATAAGAAGTGTTCCTAGTCCTGATCCAGTTCCACCTCCTAGGGAGTGTGTGAGCTGGAAACCCTGGAGACAATCACATCCCTCGGCCTCCTTCCTCACCACGTCCAGGACGGAGTCCACCAGCTCAGCTCCTGGAATAACAGGTTGTTAGCTCAAGGGTTAATAAAAACTGTAGTTTTAAGCGGAAACAGAACAAGGTTAAGCTCAGGAATTACATTGTGTATACAACTAGAAAAACTGCAATAACAGAGCGTATACACTTTGAGTACCACTATAAACCGCTTCATGAATGAATATGAATTCAATGTTCTAAAGATAACATCTCACAATTAGAGATCCACCCAGGCTTAGCAAGCTACAGGTCAGGGCATATACAGAGGAATCCAACAAACCTAGCATTATGCTTTGCTTTAAATTCAAATCTATTTGAGATTTGTTTCTGTTAATATGCAAATACCAAGTGCACTATTTGTAAACATATGAACATTGTCATGAAAAATTATGTTTGGCAATCAGTTACTGCAAAATTTGCAGCGAACGCCAAGGTTGTAAAAACCAGCGCAGATCCTAGTTTCTGAGATTAAAGATGAAAGTGAAGTAGAAGTGAGTTCAGGTTTAACCCTCAAGGATAACTTCTCAGATGAAACCTTGTGCGAGAAATAATGCAGAATGTTTACACGGCAAGATGGCGTCAATAATTCAAAATGGCGGAGGAGGAAAATTATTCAACTTTTATCCCCCAAGCTCCGAATATTTGTTGTGCAGGAGATTCTAGGATCGATCACTGATTCTTGGGTTCTACCCTGAACAATGAACATATTTTGATGTAACCCAATACTCCTGAACATGACGGGTTCTGTCCTGAATTAGTTTTATAATCATGATATCCATATAAGGCCTGATGTAGTATCTTGTAGTATGAGATCATAAGTTTAAAATAATTAACTCCCGACATCTTCATACGCCAACCCATTTCAGGGTTGTCAAATTCCATGACAAGTGAGATATTTTTTATTCTTTATTATTTACTTGAATTGGGGTTTGCAAATAAAATGACCTGGTTTTAAATGCCTAAATGTTTTTAACATATATTTGCATATTTTATGAAATGAATTTTGCAAAGTTTAATAAAAAATTTGAACTTATGCATTGATTCAAATGTCATTCATTCCATGCAAATACAAACTTCAAATTTGGAATTTTTGTGAGTTCCAATTTTTTCCCCCTGATTAGGATTGATGATATGCAGCGAACACAACCCTCCCAAACTTTACTGCCATGCAGCGTAGGCGGAGCAATACCCTTCCCTCATCAACCCAATTATATTGCTCCTCGCCGCTCAGGTGGGCGTATCCACAGGTGGGCGTACTCACACATCTTTATATTGGTTTAAAGGTCTGGCCTAAGGTTGGATGAAGATAAGGCTTAAACCACTTAGCAGAGATTAGAAGGAGACAAGGAAACGACAAATATGGTTGTAAGGACTGATTCGTGTCAAAATCTATAAAAAATAGCAGTTTCCAAATTTGAGGATTTAAAAGGAGAGAATTGAGGTATAAGATTAAGGCGGGGCTACGAATATGGAAAGGGTAGAACACAGAATAAGAATGAGGGGAGAAACTGAATAATAAGAAAAAACAAAATTTAGTTTATGATTTAAGGTTAAGCTCATTTCGAACGAAAAAATTCTTACACAATTGTTAGGGTAGGGCCTGGAAAGGGAGAGAGGGAATGTTTGCTTGAAGGTGGAGACAAGGAGTAGAAGGTTGGGCGTATTTTTGGTAGGGTAATATCAGTGTGGGAGGGTGAGACGAATTCTGCTAATAAGAAGGGTGGGTAATAGGATATATTTAGGGAGGAAATAGGAAAACATGAACTCTAGTGATGATGGATTAACAGAAGAGAAGGATTAATGAGAAGTAAGAAAAGGATTAATGAGAAGTTTGAAAAGGATTAAAGAGAAGTAAGAAAAGGATTAATGAGAATTTAGAAAAGGATTAATGAGAAGTTAGAAAAGGATTAATGAGAATTTAGAAAAGGATTAATGAGAAGTTAGAAAAGGATTAATGAGAAGTTAGAAAAGAATTAATGAGAATGTTGGAAAAGAATTAATGAGAAGTTAGAAAAGGATAAATGAGAATGTTGGAAAAGGATTAATGAGAAGTTAGTAAAGGATTAATGAGAAGTTAGAAAAGGATTAATGAGAAGTTAGAAAAGGATTAATGAGAAGTTAGAAAAGGATTAATGAGAAGTTAGAAAAGGATTAAGGGAAAAAGGAATTTACAATGAAAAGAGTAAGGGAAAAGATATAGATAGAAAGAATTAAAGGGACTGTAAGCGTAATTTCAAGTGACCCTAGCCTCATGCAAAAATGACAATGCTCGATTCACTCAGTACCCTGATTGTCGTGGCCTTAGGTTTGAAAGCGTTTATTTCTGATAATTCCAATATGCTTTCATGCAGTAAGAAGAGCAACTACAAGTGAAAATAAGAAAAAGTTTTCAAAATCATAAAAATTTGATGTCTAATTGAAACTGGTAGCTAGGTGTTACAAAATTGAAATGATAAATAAATGGTTGTGGTTTCAAAAACAATAAATTAAATCATACATTATTTATAAATGTATTGATCTAATCTTTAAATGACCAGAACCAGTTCTAGGTCACACCTTTACAACCATAAACAGGAAGGGGTTGGATCGAAATGTATATAAATTAAATAAAGAACATTTTGTGTTTAAAAAAACAAGATTAATCACGTCATAAAAGTATTAGCTGCAGGATCTAAAATAGGTATGATATATAATGCGAAGAAAAAGATAAATTCTTTCTTTAACCCTGAACATACCCTCCCACCCTTCATTACTAAACATGGTATCACCCTCACCCCTTCAATACTCAAAATGGTATCCTCCCCCCTTTAATACTAAACATGGTATCCCCCCCTCCCCTCTTCAATACTAAACTTGGTATCATCCCCCCTTTAACCACAATCATGATATCCCTCCTACAACCCTAAATATTATATTCCCCCCTTCAACTACAGACATTCAGATATCCTCCCCCTCCCCCTTTAAGTGGTATTCACTCTTTCAATAACAAACATGATATCCTTCCAGCTCCTCCAGCACCCCTCAAACTCTAAACATGATATCCTTCCAGCTCCTCCAGCACCCCTCAAACTCTAAACATGATATCCCTCCAGCTCCTCAAGCACCCCTTAAACTCTAAACATGATATCCCTCCAGCTCCTCAAGCACCCCTCTAACCATAAACCTGGTATAGCTAGGAATGCAATGAGTCACACCTCACATCTTCTATTCAGAGATACTAACACCTCAAGGACAACCAGGTGTACATAATATACCTAGACCACTGTACATAATATACCTAGAGCAGTGTACATAATATACCTAGACCAGTGCACATAGTATACCTAGACCAGTGTACATAATATGCCTAGACCAGTGTACATAATATACCTAGACCAGTGTACATAATATATCTAGACCAGTGTACATAATATACCTAGACCAGTGTACATAATATGTACACCTAGACCAGTGTACATAATATACCTAGACCAGTGTACATAATATACCTAGACCAGTGTACATAATATACCTAGACCAGTGTATATAATATACTTATACCAGTGTACATAATATACCTAGACTAGTGTACATAAGATACCTAGACCAGTGTACATAATATACCTAGACCAGTGTACATAATATACTTAGACCAGTGTACATAATATACCAAGACCAGTGTACCATAATAAACCTAGACATATACTACTGTACCTGGTGTACAGACTAGACAATGTACTTAAAATGCCTGAATTTATGTACACAGATTTGTACAAGAACATGAGCAATTTGAAACGAACAAAATGCCTCCAGGAGTTTTAAACAATCGACAAAATGAATCTCTCCAATGAATTTGTTAAAATGTACTAATGGGTTTTTCCAGATTAGGCTAAACGGTTTCTGTTTATTTGTCTAAGTAATCGGAGAAGGGTGGTGGCTAGGGAAATGGTATCAAACTATTCAAGTTTTAAGAAAAAGAAAAGTTGTCTGAAAATGAAATTTTAAAAAGTGTAAGTAATCAAAGTAAAGAAGAAAATAAAAACTGAAAATCTGATGAAAATGAAACTCTAAGGAGATAAAAAAAGACAATACCAATTTTCCAGAAATTGTGGGATCTACATCTATTTTTCTGTATATATGCGCACGTCTATGTTTCTGTATATATGCGCGCGTCCTTGTTTCTGTATGTATGCCCGCGTCTATGTTTCTCTATATATGCGTGTTTCTATGTGACTTCAAATGGAATTCATGGTTGGATTTAAAGGTGATTTGACACTAAGCACTAAATAGATTTAAATCTTTGAGTTTCAAACATCAAAATAAACATAATTTGTAAATTTGAAAGTTTAAGGAGGGGATCAATATCTTGGGGTTTATGAATTTAGATAACAAGCTTTAGTTATTCAATTCGATTATTAACCGTAGATCTTTAAAATTTTCAAATAGGAATTCACCAACGTTTTAAAATCAAAGGTTTGACCGTCAGGTTGCAAAGATTAGAGGAAAGTGGTATTTTTCATTCTTATTGTTTATATTCAAATATTAGTTAATAAAAACAGGGTTGGAAGGTTGAACCGCCATGATAAGGTTTAAGGGAGGGTGAGATTAAGAAAATGGATTCTAAGATTGAACCCCACCTATTATACTGAAATTATTGCCTAAAACAGATTCCAGGATCAATTTATTTTCCAGTTTTTGCCTGCATGGTCCACGTTTCCTTATTGAGAAGTTTCAACTGTCCGATTGAACAATAAATATTCAGGATAAAATCTAAACCAACCCAACTTAGTATTCAAAGAACGTTGCAAGTGCACAGAAGGTGAAGAATCTATAATCATCAATTTAGCCTAATGTTTAGTTTCAGAAAAAAGGAGGCCACCTATATTCAAAACCAAGAACCTGCTATCGAAAAGACACAGAAAAAAACACATAAATATTTCTAATTTCTGTGAGTAAACCGAAAGTTTCCATTTTAAGAAGAACTTTTAGCTAGTGTTTGGTTAAGATTTGATTCTACAAGATACATTTCTAAAATCTGTCAATTTATTTTAAAATTGGGAGAAACTCTGTCTTTAGTTGAGTTGGTTTTAAGATTGAAGGGAGCGCGTAGTGACTCTGCTTTTATTGAGGACAGATTCACAACATTGACTTTTAACTTTCGCCTGATCAAGAATGAAAGAGATATCAATGTTCTTCTCTTAGTTTTTTTAATTAAGGTTACTTCCACATTATTGATCAGATAAAGGCGTATAGGGTTCTGTTGAAACCAAACATAATAATTTACAAGTAGAGCACAAAAAAATCTTATGGCCATTTAAAGAAACCTACCTTCTGTGTAATGACCCTTGGCCCAGTTGTTTCCCGCTCCACTCTGTCCGAACACGAAGTTGTCAGGTCTAAAGATTCCTCCATAAGGTCCACTTCGTACACTGTCCATGGTTCCTGGCTCAAGATCAACGAGAATACTACGCGGCACAAATTTTCCTCCGGAAACCAATTTTTCTCCACGTGCTTTAGCCTCGGGGGACAGTCCTTGGGCCTCGTTGTAATAAACCTCGATCCTTTCCAGCTGAAGGTCTGAGGTTCCTGAAATCAAAACAAAATTCAGATTTCAAAAAATGGATTCAACTTTTTATTGTATTTTAATAATTTGAAGGTGGTTTTATTTTTATGATTTAAAGATGACCTTACCGACATAAGCTCCGGTAGGGTCAATTCCATGCTCGTCGGAGATGATTTCCCAAAACTTGGCTCCGATCTGGTTGCCGCACTGGCCGGCTTGCAGGTGGACGATTTCTCTCATTCTGAAAACAGGTTTTGAGTAATATAAATACTCGGAGCATAAACTTAAAAGGATTTAATTTTATTAAATCAAACGTCCTTCTTAGTAAACATTTACAGATTGAATCTGCACAAGTTGGATTTGCAATTTTCCGTGAATGCCAATTTCATGGTTGACGCATGAATACCGCATTCAACTGTTTAATCAGAAAACTTCATGCTCCTATAAAAATGCAGCAGTTTTATAATCTTTACCCTAAAATCTCGATTTTATCTCGACAAAAAGAGACAAAACTTTAATAAATAATTAACTAATAATATTTTTGTTTTGTTGACCAAGTCATTAAAAAAACCCCTACATTGAAGTAAAAGTGTGTTTAAAGAAAATTTTATTTATTGATTTTTAAAAATGAGAAATTAAATTTTTTTTTAAATTTTCCCCTGCTGTTTTCCCCTTCTATTTTGTTAGGAAAAATTAACTTTTTTTGATTTCTGATTTGGAGGATTTGAATTTTTAGAATAATTGCAGAAATCATCGTAATACTTTCCATTTAAACAATAACATTTGTTAATAACGTCGATTATAAATATTCAATTGTTTAATTTTTTCATAAAAATCTAAGGTTTATAATGACATGATAGAAAAGTAAAGAGATCAGAGAAAATTAATAATATAAGTTCTCCAGGTGTACCCAGAGAACTGCTAACCTGATAAAGGGTTGTGTATGTGTTCTCTGTGGAACGGTTGGGTTTAGAGTGGAGATTTTGACGGGAGGAGAGGAGACCAAGTATCCCCGATCCAACTCACACTATAGGAGCATATCTGTGCTCTGCCAGTATACTAGCGCAACTTAAATATACTCATTTTAGCGATACATTAAAATCGTTTTTAGTAATTTATAATAATAATTTGTTTAATTAGAAAAGTGTTTAAGTAAATCTTTCAATAATTTTCAAGTAGATACTTTTTCAATAATTTCTTTTAATCGTTTTTTGTTGACAAAAAACTCGCCTCAAAACCACAAATCTTATTATTATTTCGAAAAATCACACCATAAAAATAATCTTTTTCTCAAAGCATGCAAATTTCAAAATAAACAATTCAATTTAATTTTAAGGATTCTTAATCTTACCACTTGTATATACGCAAAAGAACAAAGAACAATAGGACTTGTTATAGTATTTAAAGAAATTTACAATGTTCAAGTTTTAAGTTATGATTTGATACACAAGCATGAGCTGACTAATTGTTCTGAGGGAAAAACTGGAGAACTAATCATAAATTGAATAATCGTTCTCATATTTCATATTTCTTTTATCCGCAAAACATCAGATGTCAATCATTTTAGTTTTTGTCTCTTTAAAATATTTTGCAGGATTTTTTGTTTCTCAAAATTTTCATTGGTTTATCTTCTACTTTCTTGATCATATTTTTTGCCAATATTCTCATAATTTTCATTGGTTTACTTTTCTTTTATATTTTCTTGATTTTTCTCTTTATCATAATAATTTTTATTGGTTTAATTTTTCTTTACTTTTTTAAAACATATTTTTTCCCTATAGTCTCAAAATTATTCATAAAATCCCTATGATTTTCCTATTTTCCTTTAGGCCTAATTTTTATGCCGGAGATTTGAACTGGCAGAACTTTAAATCCCAGGGCCGAGTGGGTGCAAGGAATATAAGCAACCAGTACTGGTATGAGTCAGGAGTATCACGTGACTCAAAATATGTCAGCACATCTGGCCATTTAAATGCAATACTCTTGGTTACCAGGTCCTATGGAGATGGTGGGGGGGGGGAGAACTCTCCTAGACAACTCCTACACCCAGAGATGAGAGCTATTGATATTTGTAGTCCTAATGTGGGCAGAAACAATGGGCTGTCTCCTGTGTGGTTATCGAGGTACACGGAGAAACTTGAACCGTCCTGCAGTGTAGAACCGGACACCTTGAAAGAGTAATCCTTCCACCTGACCTGTAACACACCTGTGTGGGTTTAGGCTTTGTATCCATACCCAGATTTTACCACAAGAAACCCACGCCAAGCTTTTTGGAATATTTGGGTTAAAAAATTGTAGAAACATATGTCTCAAGTTTTCCCTATACGGGTCAGGATCTTGAATTTATAAGGTTTTACCAGACACAAAAATAAGAACAATATGGATATTTGATATACGGTGTTTAAATGTTATGCATGTATTTACATATGTACGAATATGATTGTATAATGTTTATACTTAATATGTTTATGTTTATACGTCGTCGTTTACACCATGAGAATACAAGCATATTAAATATGTTTCTCTTTTAGTCAAAACTTACCTTGATAAACTAGAGTTTGTCAAGAGGCGCCAGCGAAAGGAAAATTTCTTCAAAAAATAAACAATTGAATACAGGGGCGGATACAGGATTTAAGTGAGGGGGGTGCTAGATTTATTTCGGAACAAAAAAATACAGATTTAGAAACCAAAAGACGCGCCACTGGCGAAATTTGTTTGTAAGATAGATATTTTTTTCTTTTTTTCACTAGGTTTTCTTTCCCTTAAGTGCTATTGAGAAGCTAATCTGAATCTCAGGGGGGTGCAAAGGTCCTGCCGCCCCCCCCTTGTATCCGCCCCTGATCGAATACAATTCATATCATGAAAAAATTCTTTCTGAAAATTGAATTTAGAAAAAAATTGAAAAACATTGAAAGAAAATTTTTGAAGAGATCAACATCAAAGTTTTTTTTCTTTACTTTTACTTGTCACTTTTTTATCTATTTTTATCTTAAAATGATAAGCGCAGAGAAATTTTTAAATTATTTAGATTGAGCTCAAAATAATACAAATTAAAGGAAAACTAAAACTTATAAATTACGATCTATATTTAGATAGAAAGGTTGCATGATAATGAATGGCAAATATATGGTTTAATGAATATTGTTTAATGCTTATGGTTTAATGGATTGATGAGTATATAAGGACTGATTCTATTCAACACCTTTCACACAGTTATCTGAGCAACAATCTTATATTAAAAAGTGAGTTGAATTCTGTTTAATTTAATGAATAAGAGTTAAGGAATGATATCCATATATTTTAATAATTAAGACTTAAAGCTGGATTGATGAATGACAAATACACCTTAATGAATGAAGCATAGGTTGATGAATGATGAATAGCATGCATAATACAGTGAGGCCCACAAAACTGTAAAGTAGAAAGACGACATTGAATTTTTTGTTGATGTTGTATTAAAGCAAATAAATCCACCAGCAGTTTAAAAATCAACGAATAAATTGAAATTGGTCTGTGTACACTTATAGAGTTTATTCACAACTTGCATTTAATAGTCGTCTTCACATTCCACAGTTTTATGGGTCTGACTGTAAACCAATCTAGGAGTTGAACAATGTATTTCTGTCCTGATGATTAGAAAGTTTTTGCAATGAAAGATTTGAATGCACTTGTCTGACCATCACGTGCATTCAAACTTAAGTTTATGTCTCTTAGAAACAGAGTTTCTGTTGGAATTTATGTCTCTTATAGAAACAGAGTTTCTGTTGGAATTTATGCCTCTTAGAAACAGAGTTTCTGTTGGAATTTATGTCATAGATTTTGTTGGAATTTATGTCTCTTAGAGACAAGTTTCTGTTGGAATTTATGTCTCTAAGAAAAATAGTTTCTGTTGGAATTTAGGTCTCTTAGGAGTTTTTGTTGGAATTTATGTCTCTAAGAAAAATAGTTTCTGTTGGAATTTAGGTCTCTTAGAAACAGAGTTTCTGTTGGAATTTATGTCTCTAAGAAAAATAGTTTCTGTTGGAATTTAGGTCTCTTAGTAACAGAGTTTTTGTTGGAATTTATGTCTCTAAGAAAAAGAGTTTCCCATGTTTATTGTGACAGCCTGTAGAAAAGTTAGGACTGAATCCTTTAACTATTAATGCAACGTATTAGTGGTGATATGTTCTTCTGAAGGGAGTACACAAGAGTTTATTTCTGTGCGCAGGCCACACAGTCCAGCTATGGTCCAGCTTATTATGACAATTTATATCCTAGATTTAATTATTGTATCTTTAATCTTTATTGGTTAAATCTGCAGACTATAGTCTTCACTTGCCAAAACTAAAATGCACACTCCCGGTTGCTATACAATACACAATTTCAAAACTTCCAGTTTATGCGATACACATTTTCAAAACTTCCAGTTTATGCCATACACATTTTCAAAACTTGCGGTTTATGCGATACACATTGTCAAAACTTCCAGTTTATGCGATACACATTGTCAAAACTTCCAGTTTATGCGATACACATTGTCAAAACTTCCAGTTTATGCGATACACATTTTCAAAACTTCCAGTTTATGCGATACACATTTTCAAAACTTCCAGTTTATGCGATACACATTTTCAAAACTTCCGGTTTATGCCATACACATTTTCAAAACTTTAAATGAAAAAGAAATTGTCTTTGTCTTTTTATAGGTTCTTGGTTATTATATTAACTATATTTTGAAAATGAATAATATTCATATATTTTGATGAATAAGACTTACAAGAAGTGTTCGCGAATGCGTCGAAAAAATTATCGATGACTATTGTTTGTAATATCTGAATGCTTTATTTGGAATTAAATTATTTTACGTTTTTTAACCATTTTTGTTGACTTTAAAAGTCAGTATAATAAAATAAAGAGATCTAAAATGGATATTTCTAACATTTATTTAAAAAAACGAGTGTTTTGAAATATTTGCATTTAAGGCGGAGTTAAAATTGGTTGATTTAGAAATTAACAAAGGAATTAATGATGGATATTAGATGGCACTTCATGGAAGTGTTGTAGAGCTTCAAGTTGGTGAAGCAGATCTGGGAACTGGGACGACAGGGCTTATCAGTGGAACTAAGGCAATGCAACTCGAGATAGCGGAAACTTCGGTCAGAGCCGTGCACAAGTTTCCTAAGTAAGCTTCTCAAGAAGTTAATGGGGAGATCAGAGGTATAAGCACGCCTGCTGTTAGTTCAGGACCTGCATCATCAGCCTGAAGGAGTCATGGGGGGTGATGTAGAGCTTCATGTTGGTGGGGCAGATCAACAGGTGCGTTGCGGTGAGTATCTGCATCATCATCATGAAGGAGCCAGGGTTGAGATGGAGTTGTGAATGTCTTGAGTGTTTATAGCTGACTGAATACCGGGAGCTGGGATGGACGGGGATTTGACATGTGTGGTGTGCTTGCTTCATTGCGGAAAAGGATCCTGTGTACACACACATCTAGAGAATCAACAGAGGCATTTGAGTCGGTACAATCGTCTTCCTTATATTTCGAATTTATTTTAACAATTTTATCCTTATAGACACAACAGTATAGAAGTAAGATTAGTAGCGATCAAAAGCGATTATTTTTCGCCGTAAGCCTATACCACCTTTTATTTCTCACGAAAGCTGGACTTGTTCATGATTGATGAATGACAAATAAGTCTTAATGAATGCGAGACACTCTTTAATTGGGTATCAAAACTTTAAATGATTATTTTAAAAAATCTAGTTTTTGTCTTTTTCTTGGTTTTTAAATATTATATTAGCTCTCCCTTAACTTTTTTGAGATTAAAAACTAGATTGTCATTTATTCACTTAATTCCAATTTTATAAGGGTTTCCAACGCAAGTGGATTTTACTTGCGCGCAATTGCGAGCCTTGTAAACTCCTCGCAATTCCGAACAATTTTAGAACAGTTGCGCGCAATTCCGCGGAACGGAATTCCGATTGGAAACCCTAAATTTTATACAGTCAATTTGGACAAAAATATACAATTTGGACAAAAATATACAAGCTTTTAAAATTATTCTTTTGGCGTCGAACACATGATATGCATTATATAAATCAATGGAAATCATTGTAAATGTACCTCTAAACTTTAAATGCTTTAAATGATCCAAAATTTTTAACGCTCCCCTTTAATTTTTATTTGTCAAAGTTTGGAGGTGAAATGAAGTCCTACTTTAATTATATTGCAATTTAACTTTTTACCTTAGAATTAAAAAGTTTGAAATATCAAAATTTAATAAATCGTATTTTTGACAATGTTTTACAAGTACATATATTTTCCCCCCTGCACAATATGTAACTTGAAAAATGTTTAATTAACCCAAATATTCTACTCCCTGTATGTTTGCAACATACTACATTGGATAGAAAAGAATTTGAGATGAAAAATTAAAGTTATGGTAAGAACTTATCTCCTTTGGAACGCTAAAATGTTAAGATTGTTTTCCTTCTGTATTTTCCAGGAGGAGCACTGCAGCTTGCACCAAGAGCCCCAGGGGGGGGGGAGGTGCACTGCAGTTTGCACCAAGAGCCCCAGGGGGGGGGGGCATTTGTCTAAATGCTTCTCTACGTATCCACCCAAAGATGCACTGTGCTCTATACTCTCTTTACCTAATATTCAAGTCATTGGGTTTTGTGAGTCAAACTTATTGCTATCTACATATTTTGATCCACCGTGCAATGATATCCTTAATATTTTGATCCACTGTGCAATGATATCCTTATACAGATTTAATTGCTCTAATCCTAACTCATTCAGTCCTTATCTGATCCGGAGAAAAAGTAACACTACCAGTGCAAAGGGAGTGTCAGGGTAGAAGTCAGAGGGTGTAAGTTTTTCTAAACGGAAAAAAACCTTTGCTTTTTACAAAATATTTTGATGGCTCTTTTTGGTATTTCTTTAAAAGATGTCCTTTACAAAGAATACACATAAATTAAGTGTTGGCCACATATATAATCCCTATATCTGTGTAACCCAATGTTGTAGACCTTAGATATATTTCAAACTATGAATTCTGTTAGATCAAATCTAAGTTTGAAATATCAAAGGTTTACATGCCATCAGGTTGCAAACATAAAAAGATTTAGAAATTCAATTTCCTTGTTCCCTAATTTATCATGATTTGTTGTCATCATTCCATTTTAATGTTTATGTTTAATATTATCCATATCCACACATATTAATAAAGCTTGATTTGTAGTCTATGCTGTTTTTTTTTCTAGCACAAGAAGAGACAGACAATCACGATAATATGGCATAATATCCATTTTACTCCACATTTTACATATGTAATTGTTTTTTTAATTTAATTTACAGTGAAATATTTACGAATTTCTCGTTTTAAAAATGTAAATATGTAATACTGCATTTTCATATCACTTCTTTTTCTATTGTAAAAACTGATTAATTGACACAATCTTTGATTTTATAATCACTATATTCTTGCAACCTGAGATTTTAAACCTTCGATATTTCATGTTACAACTAATTGATCTTGCAAGGACCATAGTTGATCAAATATCTGCTACATCATGTTTCAACGATATAAGGAATTAAAAATTAAAGTATGTTCACCATGTTTCATTAAACACAACAAAAATGTAAATTTTAGCCTGAAGCAAAAAATAATGTTCAACAGAATTTGTTTTTTTTAAGTTGAGTGAATCCTTAAATGTGTATTGAATTGTATAATTATGTATATACACCGATACATATTTTAGAGTTGAAAATTATGGATAGATGGATGAGTCACTGTACGCTGATGTCATCTGATCACATCTCCGCCATTACACGCGCACAGCTCGCGCACGGATGAAGATATATGCACCGTTGATTTATGAAAAACACAGAGAAAAGACAAGCTGAGATAAATCAATAAAATCATGAAATAAAAGGCGTTTTTGAATAAAGAATGTTGGGTTTGATTGAATTGAAATCACGATAATAGTCAAGGCTATTTACTGGGTATTATGGTCCCTTAGAAATACTTTTACAAAACAATTCAGTGTTATCATTAATAATTTACGCTAATCAAATATTTACAAGTAAACAGAAATGACAATAATAGATTAGAATTATAAAGAATCTTCACTGTCACTGCATTCGAGATATTTCAATATTTCAAATCTTTTTATCTAACATAATTCATAGTTTCAAATATCTTAAAGGTCAAGGCCACATCGGTTTTCAAAGACATAGGGATTAAAAAATGTGAGCTTGTGACAAAAACTCAATTCCCGTAAGCGACTTTACTGATACGACTTAGTGACCTCGTAGCTCCTTTAGTTTTTATCCGCACAAGTAAAACACAGAATGAGACTTAACTCGTTCAAAACATGAAGTTTGTGCTCAAAGATTAAATTAATTCAACGATAAAGAGGGGGTCAACCTGAGTTCAAATTATAAAAATCAAAATCCGGGAACGAGGGAATCCGGAGAAAATCCACTTAGATTTGGAGAAATTCAGGTTTCAGTCCTGAATTTACAGATACTTGAAAGTTCAATATGATCGCACACGACTATTTTGGGAGAAGCATATAAAAGTACAACCCTTATTATTTTTGTCGTTTTGTCATAAATTTTGATATTTCATCTTGAACGACTTCGAATGACAGTTTTCTAATCTAACACAAGTTTAGATTAAAAGAAGAAAAAACAATTTATCCACACATTCTCAGTATTTTATGAAACAAATGATGAAACTAATTAAATTTGTATCTCTTTTTCAATGCAGAATTGTTAACAGTAATATCTCAGAAATGTCTGATGTTATATGATCAGAAAAAAATCTTTAGTTTCTCCAGATATCCAGGATGATTTATCCGGCCCAACCTTCCAGAAAATGAAAGAACTTGATGAGTTGAATTTAGATCTGTGGCTTAGATGATAAATTTCAAGGTTTAGATGAAAAACATCTAGGTTCAAATGATAAACTTCTAGGTTCAGATGATAAACTTCTAGGTTCAGATGATAAACTTCTGGGTTCAGATGGTAAACTTCTAGGTTTACAAGATTGACTACATGATCCAGGTAATAAACTACATCAAGACACATTCAGAGAACACCTGATTCACCTAAGCCATGGAGTTTATTACCTGAACTATGGAGTTTATCAGCTAAACCTTGGACTTTATCGCTTGAAACTTTGACTTTAACATCCTAGCCATGGAAAATTTCATTTTCACCTAGAACTTTATCATCTAGATCTTGGAGTATATCACCTGAATTGTTGGGTTTATCATCTAAACCTTGGAGTTTATATCCTGAACCTTGGAGTATATCACCTGAATTGTTGGGTTTATCATCTAAATCTTGGAGTTTATCTCCTGAACCTTGGAGTATATCACCTGAATTGTTGGGTTTATCATCCAAACCTTGGAGTTTATCTCCTGAACCTTGGAGTATATCACCTGAATTGTTGGGTTTATCATCTAAACCATGGAATTTATATTCTGAACCTTGGATTATATCACCTGAATTATTGGGTTTATCATCCAAACCTTGGAGTTTATCTCCTGAACCATCAAGTTTTTTATTTAATAGTCTTCTACCTATTCCACAGTTTTACAAGTCCCATTTTCCGTTTTTTTTCAAGTTTAGAGAAAAACAGCTTTTTCCTTCCATCACTTTTCTATTTCCTTAATTTCCTACGGTACAGTCCAATGAGCATTGAACATAGCAATTGTAAAGTCTAAACTGACCCATTTAATTTAAATAAAGTGATTTAATAAGTATCAAGTAAAACTATTTATACTTTAAACAAAATAAAATACATTTTAGTATTCCTATAAAGTTGTCATCCTATTTCAAAGTTTTCTGGTTATCACTGTATTAGAGCCATGGCTTCCATGAATAAGATTAAGAAAATTAAAAAAGAAGCCAAAATTAATCTTTATTCCTAGATTTCTTAAATCTAAATTCTGAATACAAGATTTTAAAACAGAAATGGAGAGGTTAAAAGAGAATCGTAATTTCAATAAATATATAAGAATATTACACTTTATTGGCTTCTCTGCCTGGAGTTTTGACCAGTTGCCTGCCGGATACAGCTGAACCAGTGACAGAATTTATCTAATTTTAGCTTCCTCGCTGAACTTCCTTCTGTCGATTCAAAAGAATTGAGTGTTTGCCACAAACTGAAATTTTCGAATCTCTATAACTTCCAAACCTGATGTTGTTTAGTACAAAATATTGGAATTATAAAATCAGAGTTTTTGACAAAGACTTAATTCTTTGAACCACCGATTCAAAATTAAAAACCGGTAGTGGGCAGATCAAAGACCCCGTAAATTCTTTAAATTCTGTTCTAGGATTCTAGAAAGGATGAGAGAAAAGAAGAATGCCCTCCTCATGGAGTAGTTTAAAAAGTATAAATACAAGTGATAATAGTATTCAGAGCTGTCGTAGGAGCAGCAGAATTACTTATGGCAGGAATTTTAACAGCTTAAGCACTGATACCAACAGCAGTAACAGCAGTTTTAGCAGTGGTCAAAACTCACGCAGTAGTTGTATCAATGAAAGTAAAAGCTCTGACAGAAATAATGCTAGTAATCGTTTAATAAGCAGTGATGGTAGCACTGAAAACACTGTTGGCAAAAACAATAAAACCGATGAAGGCTATAATAGCAGCAGAAGTTGTGCTCGAAAAGGCAGTTGTTCCAGTAAAAACAACAGTGTAAGCAGTGAATATTACAACAGCAACAGTCTCCCAGCACCTAAATCCACAAGCAGACCATCTATTTGGGTAAATTTTTAACCTTCTCTTTATCATTCATTTTAAATATGTTTGGCATTCTGTCTATCTTTTTACAGTAGAAATCTTTGTTTGTTTGTATATGGACGATTATGACTCATGACCTCTGCGCTTGGACCGATTTGCCACAAATTAAGGAATTAATTTGAACCTGGAGAATGTTCTTAGCTTGGATTAAAATGTTGTTAAGATCTCCAAGCAAAGCTTAGTTTTCAACGGGAATGTATATTCGCGCAGATAATATTACTCAATCAACTTTAACAAAGTAACATAGATAAATACCCAAGAATCGAGTTTTTAATGCAGTATCGTACTATCTCANTTGAAAGATCAAGATTTTTAAGAATTAGGTTTTAAAAAGTAAGATATTTCACTTTTAATATATGGTGAAATTTACATATATACTTATATATATATATGCACAATGATTGAAATAAATCTAGTTTTTTACAGAATAAAAAACGCTCTCACTTATCAGTTTTATATTTACGCCGGGTGATTGGATTTTGACTAAGGACAAATTTCATGAGAAACACTAGCTAGCTCCAATAAGCAGTCTCTGTGCAATGTGCAAGTATACAAATATTTAGTATAAAGCCCTTAAATGTGAATTATAATAGGCACAGTAGTTTTTGATGTAGAACCTACCAAAAAACCTTTTCATCCACTCCTCTTTCATGTCCTTAATCTTCTCTATGATGAATATATACTTTGCTTGTCTGTTTGTTTGTATCCAATAAACGTCATAACGGCTGAACCGATCGGGCCCAAATTTTTATGGGACTTCACGTGACCTCAGGGAAGGTCTATGTATGATTGAATTTTTTATTATTGAAGTTAGGGGGGGGGGGGGTAAAAAAGGTTAAAATTTCCCCCCCCCCTCTAGAAAATCCTTATTTACCCCCCTGGACTCTCAGTTCTTTTTTGCATAATTCAATTGCTGCAGAATAATCAGCAAAATTTCCAGAATTGATATTAAAAAAATGTACATAGTGTACAAGATGGAAAGTTTTTGTTTAAGTTGGTTTCTGTCAGGATAAAAACAGAATAGGAAGCCACTTAAATGCATGATCGCTATACTTTAACCTTTTATTAATTCTAATCCATGAATATATTATTGAAAAATCAATTCCAGAAAATTCTATATCTGTTTTAAAGGTTTTGGGACCAATTTTCATATTTTCAGACAGAGGTTTTAGTATTATTTTAATTTAAAAGATTTTAGGGGAAAAACGAAATATTGGAAATTAAACGGGAAATTTTCCCCGTTTCAAATATTTTCAACCAAAAATTTCTCTAGTTCAGAGGAAAAAAATCCTCACCCTATGCTGGGGATCTGGGGGAGGGGGGGACTTTTAAACAGTTTTCAATAGGGGGCGGGAGGGGTTAATTATTTTCTAAGAAATCCTTACCCTATACTGCAGGGAGCGGTTGACTTTTAAATAGTTTTCAATAGGGAGTGTGGGGGGGGGGGATAATTATTTTCTTTAAGAAACCTTACCCTTGACTGGGGAGGTGGGGGTGACTTATAAACAGTTCTTAATAGGGGTTGGGAGAGGTTAATTATTTTCTAAGAAATATTTACCCTATACTGGGGAGCTGGGGGGGTAGGGGGTGACTTTTAAACAATTTTCAATAGGGGGTGTGGGAGGGGTTAATTATTTTCTAAGAAATCCTTACCCACTGTTGAGCTGGGGGTGACTTATAAACAGTTCTTAATAGGGGTTGGGAGGGGTTAATTATTTTCTAAAGAAATCCTTAGCCTGTACTGGGGAGCTGGGGGAGAGGGTGACTTTTAAATTTTATGGATTTAACTTGAAGAAGTTTTGATCACTAGATAACATTAGAGAGTAATTTTCGCCTAGATTAACATTCTTAAAATTAACCAGCTTTTGGAACCAAAAAATACGCAATTTTTACTGTAAAAATTTCAAAATTTTTTTTTGTAGTTTAAATCATTCAGTTTTCTACTGACATTGATACTTTTAAATTTTATGGATTTAACTTGAAGAAGTTTTGATCGTTTGCGTTACAGGAAATAGACCATGGCAAATGGGGGCTGGGGGGGGGGGTCTCCACGGCCGCGGCGGTCAATCTAAGGAAGGATTAGGTTGTTTTGCAAGAGGGGGTGGACTAGGAATGAAGTGGAGTGGATTAAGTGGATGGTAGCGACAGAAGGAATTTATTAAATCTAAAATAAAATTATTATTATTTTTTTTTGAGAAAAGTCAATCTTTTATTTTGCAACCCCCACCCCTATTCCCTATAAGTATTTTTGAAAAGTTTACATTTTGACCAATTAGTTATTAAACAGTTTTCAATAGGGGGTATTCTAAAGAAGTATATTTCACTATTTTCAGAGCTTACGGGCCGGACGTAGAGAGACTGCTCAGGAACTGAGTATTGAAGAGAAGGAGAAACTTCAAGTTGTTGTTAAAGTTCTTGATTTAGCAGCAGAGGTTATTTTCTTTCTTCAATACACTCTCAGAAATCATATTGCGGTGTTTTATCAATCCAACATGACTGAAGACAGTTTGATCTTTACTTTTCGCTTTGAATTGGTCAAGAAACATCAATTTAATAGGATCTTATAAATGTTTTATAAACATTCATAAAACTTTCAATTGTTCTCTGTATAGAGAACTTTTCTAATAAATCTTGAATAACTTAATCATTATTTTATAGCAGAGCATCAATTTTCTTGAGGATTGAAACCTCGGAAATAACATTTTTTTTTTAGGAAAAACGCCGAAAAAGTTTTCAGGCCCAGTGTAAAATATCAGTTTATTTTCCGGACAAGGTATTTTTTATTTCCTTATTAGTGTAATTGTTGTGAACAAACGCAATGAATATGTGATCTTCCATTTATAAAGTGGAACTTCCGATTCACAACTGTACCTTAACAGCTTTGTTTGATCAAGAGTGAATGAGATATTCATGTTTTTTTTTTCCTTCTAAATTGTTTATTTTTAATTTGCGTTTCTTCCTAAATGTATGTACATTTCGGATTTTTGTAATGGAAATAATTATTTTCAACCTAGAAAAACATTTTCTTTTGACGCGATCAGAGCTGAAAACTTTAGAATGAGATATCCTTAATCCCGATTACTTAATCTGAGTATCCAATGGACACACTTTTGATTTACTTCTTAAACCGTTCTTTCTTGGATATAGTAGAGAAAAATCAAAAACCGGTTTTTTAATTTAGAAAGTCCCTCCCGTTTCTATATATATAAACTTAAATGGCGCGCAAAATTTCAAATTCATCGGCTTCATATACGCGACTCTGATTGGTTGAATTTTATACACTTTTCAGGATACAAGTAACAAGATTAGGTTAGTCTCGAGATTAAGAAAAAGAGAGGATCAAGAATTGATCTCGATATTCACCATTCTAAAGTTTTCAGCTCAGATTAAGGTTCTCTTAAAATGATGGTTGACTTTAAATTAGAAAAACAGTTCCTTTCAGGATGTGAAAGCTAGAAAGGATTTTGAGAAACGGAAAGTTTCCTGTTACTTTCCAGAGATAGAACAACAGCAGATCAGGTTGGAAATATAATACTGGAGAAAGGAATTATAAGTCTTATGCCACAAACTCAAATTTTCTAATGGCGTCTAAATAACATTTAACACTGAAAGAAAACATAATGCAAAACAAGAAAAATATCTATCTTAATAAGCTAAATTGTGTCACGCACCTCTGACCCTTAAGTAAAAGTAAATTCTAAATTAGATAGCGATTAAATCACAAATAATCAACCGCCAGCACTTTCAATTGAGATAAATTACATAAAATGATTTTTTTAGATTCTTAAACAATATTCAAGAAGTCTTATATTATACACTAACTGAAGGGCCAGGCGTTGCCCGTGGGGAAAAAATTCGGAAAAAATGTCATCCCCGGCTACCCATGAGTGTCGACAATAAAAATGTCGGCCCATTTGGTCCAGCCGTTTGGTCGGCCAGGGGAAACATATATATAAATGTATTGTTTTATTATAAGAATTTTTAAACAATAGTATAATATTCCAAAATAGTTTTCAATTTAAAAAAATAAGATTTCGAAATTCTTAAATAATATTTAAAATTTGATTTATTTGAGGAGATCCTTCAGAAGAAACTCTCTTTTGCATTGCTACTTTCCAGAAATATCAAATACAGGCGTCAGGTACGAGTAGGATAAAGTATATTATGGTCTGTATCAGGTAGGAGTAGGATAAAGTATATTATGGTTTGTATCAGGTAGGAGTAGGATAAAGTATATTATGGTTTGTATCAGGTAGGAGTAGGATAAAGTATATTATGGTTTGTATCAGGTATAGAGTAGGATAAAGTATATTATGGTTTGTATCAGGTATGGAGTAGGATAAAGTATATTATGGTTTGTATCAGGTAGGTGTAGGATAAATTATATTATGGTTTGTATCAGGTATGGAGTAGGATAAAGTATATTATGGTTTGTATCAGGTAGGAGTAGGATAAAGTATATTATGGTTTGTATCAGGTATGGAGTAGGATAAAGTATATTATGGTTTGTATCAGGTAGGAGTAGGATATAGTATATTATGGTTTGTATCAGGTATGGAGTAGGATAAAGTATATTATGGTTTGTATCAGGTAGGAGTAGGATAAAGTATATTATGGTTTGTATCAGGTAGGAGTAGGATAAAGTATATTATGGTTTGTATCAGGTAGGAGTAGGATAAAGTATTTAGACTTTAATAAAGAAATTTATTTCAGGAGAAAAGCTAGAAGTCGGGATAGTTCTGTGAAATTGATATCATCGACGGTAATATTCTGAACATATTTAATGTTTTTCCATGAAAATAGTTCAGGAATGTTTTGTACATCCAGAAATATTATATTTATCCAGAAATATTTTATTTATTCTGAAATGGTTTGCTTATCCTAGAATGTTATGTTTATCCCAAAAATTTTGTATATCCAAGAATGTTTTGTTTATCCAGGAACGTTTTGTATATCCAAGAATGTTTTGTTTATCCAGGAATGTTTTGTTTATCCAGAAATGTTTTGTTTAACCAGGAATGTTCTGTTTATCCCGAAACATTTTGTATATACAAGGATGTTTAGTTTATCCTGGAATGTTTTGTTTATCCAGGAATGTTTTGTTTATCCAAGAATGTTTTGTTTATCCAGAAATGTTTTGTTTATCCAAGAGTGTTTTGTTTATCCAGGAATGTTTTGTTTATCCAGGAATGTTTTGTTTATCCAGGAATGTTTTGTTTATCCAGGAATGTTTTGTTTATCTAGGAATGTTTTGTTTATCCAGGAATGTTTAAGTTTTGTATATCCAGGAATTTTTTGTATATCCAGGAATGTTTTGTATATTCAAGGGCTCAGTAACATTTTGCCTAGTACAAGTTCGCCTAGTACAAGTTCGCCTAGTACACTTTCGCCTAGTTCAAGTTCGCCTAGATAACATTTTGCCTAGATAACATTTTGCCTAGATAACATTTTGCCTAGACAACATTTCGCCTAGATAACATTTTGCCTAGATAACATTTTGCCTTATAGACAACATTTCGCCTAGATAACATTTTGCCTAGATAAAATTTTGCCTAGATAACATTAGAGAGTAATTTTCGCCTAGATTAACATTCTTAAAATTAACCAGCTTTTGGAACCAAAAAATACGCAATTTTTACTGTAAAAATTTCAAAATTTTTTTTTGTAGTTTAAATCATTCAGTTTTCTACTGACATTGATGTCGACATGACGTCCTTAATTCAGGCTGGGAAAACCAAACGAGGCAGACCAGCCAAAATTGATAATCAACATTTCTCATATGTCTCCAATGGACCTGGTAGTCAGAAAGTTTATAATTGGCGCTGTTCAAACAGCTAGTGCCCTTTAAGAAAAAATTTGTAAACATTATTATAATACATTTTTTTGCTTTTTATTGAATTTCTTGAGAAAAAAGAGGAACTTTATAAATTTTAGTGAATTTATCTAGGCGAAATTTACCTTCTAAAGTTGTCTAGGCAAAATGTTATCTAGGCGAAATGTTGTCTAGGCAAACTGTGTTTAGGCAAAATGGTATCTAGGCAAAATGTTATCTAGGCAAAAAGTTAGTAGGCGAACATGTACTAGGCGAAAGTGTACTAGGCGAACTTGTACTAGGCAAAATGTTACTGAGCCTATTCAAGAATGTTTTGTATATCCAGGAATGTTTTTTATATCCAGAATTGTTCTATTTCGCTAGGAATATTTTGAATATCCGGGAATATTTGTTTATCCTGGATTGTTCTGTTTTTCCAGGAATGTTTTTTATTTCCTGGAAAGTTTTGTATACCCAGGAACGTTTTGTATATCCAGGAATGTTTTGTTTATCCAGGAATGTTTTGTTTATCCAGTAATGTTTTGTATATCCAGGAATGTTTTGTTTATCATGGAATGTTTTGTATATCCTGGAATATTTTGTTTATCCAGGAAAATTTGGTTTATTTAGAAATGTTTTGTTTATCCAGGAATGTTTTGTTTATCCAGGAATATTTTGTTTATCCAGGAATGTTTTCTATATCCTGGAATGTTTTGTTTATCCAGGAATGAGGGAGAGCTGGGTTGTGAAGAACTATCGGAAGGTTTTTGAACCAATCGTTAGAAGTGGACAACTCAAGGAACAAGAGCAAAGAGTTCATCCCTGGCTCAATGATAAAAGGTTGGATTAATTTCAATATCCAAAAATACTAAATCCGAAGCGGAGAACATTTCCCAAGCAAGGTTGTATAATAAGGTTGCCTTCTCTCGATGTGATCCAATGTACGGAAAATGTCGTCTCCTTAGCCTAGACAGATAGAATCCGCATATGACGTCACTCTCACCTTTATAATGAGTGACTTCATATTCAAATTCTATCTGACGATGCTGGAGACTTTTTACTTACATTGAAGCGCATCGAGAACTTTCCTATTAGACAATGGAACTATTTTTCAAATAACTTTTTTCATGCTACTATTTTATAAGGGGACTATTTCCCAAGAGCCTATTGTCAATGGGCCTAATTAAAAATAAAAAAATGAAAAACAACTAAAAATCGTAATCATTTGTAGAGATCCAGAGTTCTGGAGTTGGCCTGATATATTCGCATTCGTCCTGTCCTGTTACTTCGTCCTCGTCTCATTATCCTTCATCATTCTCCTCATCTTCAAGCTCAACTTCAAGACCAGGTACACGGTGTATAAAATTCAGGGGGGGATTTCTAGGGGAGGCTTTCTAGGGGAGGTCTGGGGTTCTCCCCCCCCCCCTCCCCATATATGTCTCTGCAAACAGTCCACGTCTCAAATATTAATGGTAAAGGAATGAGAACATTACCTTGTGAGACAAGTTTTTAGTTTCTTTATGATCTGTATTTTTAGAAGAATGCCGTCACTTCAGAGCACTAAACCTAACTCTAGAGGAAATACATCAAAAACAACAGTCCATCAGTTAACTAATAGAGTTTATCAGTCCTCTTTCGCTACTGATCAGCCCCCTGAAGTGCTTAATCAGCTTTCATCTAAAATTCATCAGCCTGTCTTAGGAATGCATCAGATATCAGCCGGAATTTGCAAATCTACAGCCGAAATCCGGTCCTCTTTCACCGGATCTTCCGCATACAGTTTTATCCCTTTAGAACCCGGATCGGAAACTAAATGGAACCAATCCGAGGATGAATTCTTTGAACATGATGAACTAGACTACTTGGTGTCGACAAAGTTAAAATGTATCTGATACAATTTTGCTTCTTTAATTGGACCTTTTAGATACCTTTTAGTTCTTTTTTTGTATTATCAGTGAGGATGATAACGTTCATCCCGTTTTTAAAGAAATGAGTCCGAATTTAATTAATTTGAGCCGCGTCTCAAATCCGCCAAAAACCGGTTAATTTGAGAACCAGCTTAAAACTTTAAACATTGAATACAATATTAAGTGGAACCAATCTTATTTGAGCCGCGGCTCAAATTCTTTAAATTCGGCCAATGGTTTCTCTCAATTTACTTCTTTGTCTCCATGCTGCATAAATCCATAAAATTCACGTTTACATAGAACTAAAGTTGAAAATTAACATTTTTTCACAATTTGTGTTGAGAATAATTCAATAAGTTTTGCCCTGAAAAGAGTTTCAGGTTACAGAATTGTACATCGGATATTATATATATCTAAGTCAGTGAATATACAAGAGTAAAAATAGGGTTTGAAGCATAGATAAAGATAGATTGCACATAAGACGACATTTCTCAACTTACCAGATATGAATGTACAGAGATGTTTGAAATATATTCAAAACTTATAGATTACTTAGGTTGGTTGTGAACATTGGCTGTTCTTATGTTATTTGGTACATGTGGTGTACATGAGTTTTGTAGAGAGAAATTTAAATTTCTTGTCCCTATAAAATATTGCTCCTTAAAATATTGTTCTTTTTCCATTCCTGGAATTAATTTACACTTTATTCTGGAGGAATTATTAAATGCAATAAATTTAATTGTAAAATAATTCAAAACCGTCATTTATTTCTTATTTTTCCAATCAAGTTAACATTTTTGCCCCCAACCCTTTTTATTTATTTATCTATGGTATTAAAAAGCAATATTTGGATATATTTCTCTGGATATGTAATATTAGCATAATTTAGAATCTGGATATTTTAAAAATGTTGTAATTGCGGAATCTCATTCATGTCAAAGCAATTCACAATTCTGAACCAGCAAACTCATTTTTTAAATTAAAAATTTATTAAAAAGTACAAAAAGTTCTGTTTTAATACATTAAGACTGCAACTTAGCAAAGTTTACAAAAACCAATTATTTTGTATTTTGTGGTTCTTAAAAAGTGTATTTTAATCAAGATTAAACATGTTTAGAAAAATAATCTTTTTTAAATGAAATATTTTGACTTGTTTTGTTGCCCACTCCCCGAGCCAAATAGATTTATTTTTATTTTTAAAAGAAGGCCTAATAAAAATACTAAAATGCTGTAAATGTATTTAAAATAAAGGAAATGAATCTTTGCCACAAACTCGAATTTTCTAATACCTATATCTTTTAAATCTGATGATGTAAACCTTTGATTATCTGATATTACAGAATTTATAGTTTGAAATATCTAAGGTATTCGACCACGGGTTGCAAAGATATTGGGATTAGAAAATAAGAGTTTGTGGCAACGACTCAATTCCTTTACTACGTTTTTAATTTTAAACAATAAAAAATCAGGTGAAATCTTAAATATTGAAATATTGTAAACAAACTTATTTGTATCAAATAACCCTAACATAAAGTAAAATTTACCAACAGATATTGTATCGTATTCAGAGATAAGAGAGTTACAGAGATCGATTAACACCTACATATAATATGCGATATTTCCCACGGCATGTGTTCTTTTGTGTACAAGTACTGTACACAATCAGCAAACATCTGTAATCAGGGATATTTAAGGATCCTTTGGATACTAAACACAAACTCTTCATATATAGACTGAATTCATAAATGTTATGTTTAATGTTTAAAATTGGAGTATTTCTTTTAAAGTTGTAAAACTTAACCCCTAAATGAGTATCATATTCAACAAGTGGCCGTGAGATGGCACTCTTAAAACTATCGTTAAGACGAAGCATGTTGCGCCGGGTCAACTTGTGCCTGCGTATCCCATCCTATGAAAGGAGATAAGCAGTCTGTGTAGTCTGTAATCGTATTAAACTGATGTGTATCAAATACTAATTGTTCTATTTATTATTATAAAGGTTTAAAGGATGTTCAAAGAAGAATTGTAAATGTAATACACCGCAAGACCCAACTGTGGAAATAGAAAAGCCGTTTATCGATCGGCCTCAAGTTATCTATATATATATATATATATAAAAGTTGCAATCTCTGTTTGTCTGTCCCATTAAAACTCAGGAATCCCTGGATCAATTTATCTCAAATTTTGATTTTCTTAGATTGGTTTTAAGATTCAATAAGTTTAGTGCAGGTATAGACTTTAATAGCGAAAGTTTAGTTTCCCGGTAAAAAAAGGTGCGGGTAAACGGCAGAAGTAACTATTAGTAACCTTGGCAGCGCTGGGTTTCAAAGCTAGTGGCTCAAAAAGTCCAAATAGAATAAAATTAAGCAATTAATCAACAGACCCACTTCACCTACTATGTTAAGCAACTGGAAAACGGTTTTATTATAAGATTACTTAGATATCGTCTTCCTATTCCACAGTTTTATCGGTCTCACTATGTAGCGAGGGAGGAAATCCCCGGAAGCCATGAGCCTCTGCAATGCAGACACGAGCCTCCAAGATTTGCTATGCAGACCGAGCCTCCGCCATGCAGGAAGAGCTTCCCCTATACAGAATATATTCCTTAAAACTCTTGGTTTTTTACATATATATTATATTTTGTATTTTTTATGGAATAGTAACGCAAAAAAAAATATCAAAATCAGAAGTATAAATCAATTATTGTAAATATTGACTAATTATGACTAGTAAAGTGGTTTATTAAACTTCAAACATTTTTTAAGCAAAAAGAAAACATTTAGAAAACAAATTCTGAAAATAATTATATTCGATATTTTATAATCTTTGATTTACGCAATATCTTTTTTAAGAGATTTATCAGATTGAAATAATCAAAAATTTGACATTGAAAAATAATCTAGATCCCAAAAAATTGGAAAAAAGCCTCCTTATTGCGTAATGTTTTATTGTCTAACATAAATCTTATAAACCACTTTTAAAATTCAGTGATGGTGATGGACCAAACCTCTGTAGAGTAAAAAAGTAGATGTTATTTCCACATTTATTGAAAATATATTTCGGTCTGGGTTGACCCTCGTCAGTTCTAACGATATAATAACCATCAAAATCGATTAAAAAAATTAAAAAAATGTAAAAATCACAAGAATATAAACAAACAAAAAGATTATTCAAAATAAAAATTTGGGCTGTCAAATGGACATAAGGGAAAAGAACTCAGATTATGAGATGGGAAAAAGATAATTTGCAAATATTCACTTTCTAAAAAAATGTTTTTAGACAATTATTATTCCTTGAGATTGTTTCTTCACAAAGANTGAAACCTTTTTTTGCCAGTTTGGACAATTTACAATAATAATATAATTATAATAATAATATAATAATATAATATATAATAAATATAAATAATAATATATAATAATATATAACTTATAAACCACTTCACGAGCCAATATAAGTTATAAATTATGACAATCAATAAACAACATTAATCTTAAGTAAAATTCTTGTGCCATTATATTGAAAATAAAATCTTAATTAAATGTAAAAACCAAGAGGTATAACCCAGCAAGAACGGGAAGGAAGCCTAAAATTGACTTACAAATTACAAATTTTTGTTTAAGAAAGTAACCAACATTTTTACCGTATCAAACTATAGAAAATGATAATAATGAAATTATTGTTCATGAAGAAAATACTAGAGATATGAAAGTTGTCTTTTACTGAAACTAATTCACATCATAATGTCCAAATATTTAAATCTTTCATATATTTAAGCAGTGTCATAAAACAAATATTACTTATTTTCGTATTCATGTGCAAAATAATGCTAAAATTATGACTGATTTTGTATTCCGCAATTCCGTGCAAATAAAAAATATTCATTTCTAATGAATGCGCAATTTTGCGCAATCCTGGTATCGTAATGATACGAAAATGATGCGAAATTTCGTGCAAAAACGCGAAACTTTGCGCAAGAGAATCTACTGTTTCGTGGAAACCATAAACTTACACCACCAATTAATTTGATTATGAAAGGTCCTTTAAGTTAATTCTGTTAAGAAGGTTGTACTTGTGTGACTCTATTGTATTTCATGTCCTGCGTCTGAATTGTGAAAATGAAAATTTGAAATTAGTTCAAGCGATTCACAATACGGAACTTAATTGTTTATATGAGAGTTAACAAATTTTAAAATATATGTATATTTTACATGTTAATAATCATACATCAAAATCAACTATGAATACTAGAGAAGGATCGTACTGCAGAAGTTCGGTTGATCTTCTCCGAACCTGAACCCAGCTATAGGTTCAACTCGGGATAAAGTTTATCAGGATGAATTTACTCCGGAGAGTTTAATATCCTTCCGTCATTTTATCAACTCTGCTTCCTTGTACTCCTAAAAAATACATAAAAATGATTTTCTTTCAATGGTTGTCAATATGGATTGTAAATTCCAATCATGGAATGATTATTTTGTTTTGAAAGTAGGAGAACGTTTGATAATCTTAAGATAAATAAAGTTCCTTGGGTGGATTGGATTGAACCAATCAGAATAATTCAGGGGACATTAGTTCCAAAACTAACAATAAATGAGGCCCAATGACAGCCGAGACCCTGAGTCTTTTTAACCCGAATTTTTTAAATCGCAAGCTCACTAATTCTCTTACCTTCTCCATGTGCACCTTAGACCAGACCTAGGCGGACTCCAGTGCCTTCTCAACCCCAGCGAAGATTTTATCCATCTTGGCCTGGGAGTCAATATATCCGTCCCCGTTCTTCTTACTATGCAACACTTCTCCTCCAACAATTTGAACCTTGACATAGGAAACATCAATACAATAGTCAGAATCTTTATTGGAACTTATAGTATAGGCGGTTTGGAGGGGACAGTCCATTACCCCCCCTGAGTGAATTTAGGGGGGTGTACCACCCTGGATATTTACATATTCATATTCTCCAGTATATCTGAACTCTACCTCAAACCCCTCTAACTCCACTTTATCTGAACCCTACCATAAACCTATATTCTCCATTATATATCTAAACCCTACCTTAAACCTATATTCTTCATTATATATCAAACCCTACCTTCAACATTTATTCTCCATTATATATCTAAATCCTACCTTAAACCTATATTCTCCATTATAAATCAAACCCTACCTTCAACATATATTCTCCATTATATATCTAAATCCTACCTTAAACCTATATTCTCCAATATATATCAAACCCTACTTTCAACATATATTCTCCATTATATATCTAAACACTACCTTAAACCTATATTCTCCATTATATATCTAAACCCTACTTTCAATCTATATTCTCCAGTGTATATCTAACCCCTACCTCCAACCTATCTTCTCCAGTATACATCTTAACCCTACCTTCAACCTATATTCTCCAGTATATATAAACCCTACATCCATCTTATAATTTCCAGTGAATACCTAAACCTTCAACCTTTATTCTCCATTATATACAGGGTGTCCCACGAAACATGACAGTTGTTGAATAGTTTTGAATGTTTTAATCCAGTTACTGTTTCAGATATTGAAGACATTTTGCAGCATATTTCGTTAACAAAATCTTTTACTTAAATATATTTTTAATTGTTTTACTACAATTTGACTGACATATAATATTTTACTATGCATTTTGGTATCAAGCAACTTAAAAATTATGGGAGAAGACATTTTAAACTATTCACCAACTATCATTCATGTTGTATATGAACCCTACCTCCAACCCCTTTAACTCCAGTACATATCTGAACCCTTCCTCCAACATATATTCTCCAATATATATCTATACCCTACTTTAAACCTATATTCTCCAGTATATATCTAAACCCTACCTTAAACCTATATTCTCAAGTATATATCACACCCCTACCTCCAATCTATATTCTCCAGTATATCTAAATTTACCTCCAACCATCCTGAGGTATTGGGTGTTGCTTCACCCGAAATCTCCAGTTTTCCTGGATATTTAGCTTCAAGTTCCTGCTTCAGCTTGCGGAACTTGGGGGCGTACCCTCATCCACCACTACCAAACAATAAAGGAATTGAGTCTTTGACACAAACTATGATTTTCTAATCCATATCTTTGCAACCCATTCAGTAGACCATAGATATTTACAACTATAAATTCAGTTAGATCCATAGATAAAGATAGCTTGCGCATAAGACGACATTTTTCATCTTGAAAGATATAAATGTACAGAGATGTTTTAAAGATATTCCTATTATATAGATTAACTAGGTCGGTTGTGAACATTGGCTGTTCTTATGTCATTTAGTACTTGTGGTGTACATGAGTTCTGTAGAGAGAAATTTAAGTTAGTTTACTCCTTCTCATGTCCTTCTTCAGAACTCACCAATATGATGTATTGCTCAGTGAATTATTGTTGTTCAAATAGTTCCATTCCCGGAGTTATTTTACACTCTATTATGAAATCCATTAAAATACTAAACCACCCCGCTTATCATTGAAGTACACTTTGACCCCTAGAAGTATGAGTTCGCGGACTGTACGATTCTTTGTGATTTTGCGTATATAAGCTATCTATGTTTATTTATTTATCTATGATTAGATCTAATAATTGCTACTTGCTAGATTTGAAAAACCAAAGGTGTACACAGTCCAGTGTACTGTATACATCATCATATTTTTAAAGATAAATTTGAGTTTGTGGCAAAGACTCAATGAAGCATAATGGCACAGATTAGAATAGACCAAATAGTAACGATAAACAAATGAATTACTTGTGAACAAATTACAATAGAATAGATTAGATTCTAATAAAACATAATAGTTATCTATACGGAGCGGCGATTTAAAAAATTCAAGAAAATACGACTCGGGTCTAAGCTGTTGTTGAGCCTTATTTACGACTCGGGCTTACGGATTTAGGTTGCATCTAATTTTCAACAGAGTTTAGTTCATAAAACCGGTTTAATTTAGTATTTGGAGGATTTTCATAGTTGGAATTGGTGCATTCCTGGTTTTGATGAGAAGAAGATCCAACATTGAGCCTTATTCTTCACTAAAACCAACCAAGGTCGGTTTTATTTTCATTGGGCTTAACTCCTTAAGTCGAGCCTAAACTCTCGCAGCTGTCAATCACGTGACACAAGCTGTCGTCATAGTTGGGTCGAAGATTGGGTCTTAAAGTCGGGTTTAAGGAATTACGGCTTGAGCCGAAGTTTTTAAATCGCGGGCTCGGGACCAATAAAACTGAATAATGGGACAACTTTTAATTTTTAATTATTTTCAGTACAGTGAAAATGAAGCACAGCAATTGTGCACTGTGCAAGTGCAGTGTACAGTACAGTACAGTACAGTACAGTACAGTACAGTACAGCTTACAGTACAGTTCAGTACAGTACAGTACAGTACAGTACAGTACAGTATTTTCAGTACAGTGAAAATGAAGCACAGCAATTGTGCACTGTGCAAGTGCAGTGTACAAAGACCCTCTACTATATAAAAAATGTTAACTCCAAAAATTATTTCTTTAAAATGAAATATTTAAAAGAAAGGTTGGTAACATTTTAAAGGTTAAAATGGCAACTATTTGAATAACTTTTATTGACGGAACGCTTGAAGAATGTTTAATTTTAGACAATTTAAAAAAAATTATAAATAATTTTTTACATACCAATAAACGATGTGTATTTTGACGGGCATTTTCTTTCTTAGATTGTATTCAGTGAAAGAAAAATTGTATCTGCTATCTGTACTATGGAACCGGAGGTTTAGTATTGTACTGCGGGTTTTCTTGTTATGTGTTGTATACTAGTAGCCAAGACACCTAGGGGCAGGTCTGCTATTGGCTCATCCAGGTCTAATTCCTGTTTTTTCATCGGTCAAATTTAGTTTTACAGCTTTCTAATTCTTATCTCTTTCACACTTATATACTAGAAAAGTTTATAAGATATTCTAGTTTTGAATACAGGATTATATATAAACTTGATTAGCAGTTCGAATCCAAGAATGAGGGGGTGGAGGGGGGGGGAGTCCGGTTTAACTTGGGTCAAGGGTTCAATGATCTCTTTTTTTGATATAAATTCTGTATTGCCATTTGCATTAATTGTTTCATTGAACATATTATTGTCTGTACGAGCAGCTCCTTAAAATTAACACGCAGATTCTTTTTGTCTGCTTCCAACATGTATTTTTCAAAAAGTAGAAATGTATTTTTGTGTTTTTTTGTTTGGAATAAAAACTTTTATCGATTATACAACTCATGCACGTTTAAAAAATCCATAACTATAAAGCAGACGATCTGCAATGACTTCAATACATTCAACTTATAATTTAAATTGCAATACAGAATTTTAATCAAAAAAGGGATCATTGAACCCTTGACCCGAGTTAAACCGCCCCCACCCCTCTCTTTCCTGGATTAGGACAGGAGGTCCTAGAAAATATAAATGTATTCTTGTGTTAAATAAAAAATATCGATTAAACAACTTTGCATATTTTAAGAATTCAAAAGAACTATGAAGCAGACGATCTTCATTTCAATCAACTTATAAGTAAATAAAGTGTAAAACTAGGTTTTATACCCAATATTTTACTGATTTCACGTTAAAAATGAACCTATCCAGATCCTGAATCATGAATGCTAGAAAACAATCAGTTTAAATTTCTTAAAGTCGTCTATAAAGTCTTATTATTCTTGGGATAACCTTGTATACTCTGGTATCTCTTAGTAAAATTCAAACTAAGAGAAAAACATAATATAATATACTAGCTTGGGAACCCAGCGCTGCCCATGTTACTAAAAGTTTCTCCCGCCGTTTACCCGAACTTAAACGATTTAACCGGAAAAATATATATCGTTATTTAAGTCAAAATCTCAAAACTTAGCTAAGAACATTCCCGTGGGTCTCCCGAGTTCCCCCAATCAAATTTTGAGGCAAATCGGTCAAGAGGTTCCTGAGTTATGATCGGCCGAACAAACAAACAGAGATTACAACTTTACATATATAAATTATGGATTTATTTATTTATTAAAATTTTATGACATCAATAATGGGGGAGGAAGGTAAAAATAATATGCTAGGTTCTGAAGTGTACTAGGAGTTCAGGAATCCAGGTTTAAGAATTCTAGTATTGTATCCCCGGAGTGTACTATAGAGTACAAGAATCCAGGTTTCAGAATACTAGTATTGTATCTCCGGAGTCTACAGAGTACAAGAATCCAGGTTTCAGAATACTAGTATTGTATCTCCGGAGTGTACTATAGAGTACAAGAATCCAGGTTTCAGAATACTAGTATTGTATCTCCGGAGTCTACAATAGAGTACAAGAATCCAGGTTTCAGAATACTAGTATTGTATCTCCGGAGTGTACTATAGGGTACAAGAATCCAGGTTTAAGAATACTAGTATTGTATCTCCGGAGTGTACTATTGTGTACAGGAATCCAGGTTTAAGAATTCTAGTACTGTATATCCGGAGTGTACTATAGAGTACAGAAATCCAGGTTAAAGAATTCTAGTATTGTATCTCCGGAGTTTACTATAGAGTAAAAGAATCCAGGTTTAAGAATCCTAGTACTGTATCCCCGGAGTGTACTGTAGAGTACAGGAATCTAGGTTTAAGAATTCTAGTACTGTATCTCCGGAGTGTACTATAGAGTACAAGAATCCAGGTTTAAGAATCCTATTACTGTATCTCCGGAGTGTACTATAGAGTACAGGAATCCAGGTTTAAGAATTCTAGTACTGTATCTCCGGAGTGTACTATAGAGTACAAGAATCCAGGTTTAAGAATCCTATTACTGTATCTCCGGAGTGTACTATTGTGTACAGGAATCCAGGTTTAAGAATTCTAGTATTGTATCTCCGGAGTGTACTATAGATTACAAGAATCCAGGTTTAAGAATCCTAGTACTGTATATCCGGAGTGTATTATAGAGTACAGGAATCCAGGTTAAAGAATTCTAGTACTGTATCCCCGGAGTGTACTATAGAGTACAAGAATCTAGGTTTAAGAATTCTAGTATTGTATCCCCGGAGTGTACTATAGAGTACAAGAATCCAGGTTTAAGAATTCTAGTATTGTATCTCCGGAGTAAGTCCAAATTGTCGTTTTTGGCATCTCGAGTACAGATTTCAACTCCACTTTTCTTTTTATCCCTTCCTAGTTTAAAAAAGACATGATAATTATGTGTCTATAAATGATTCCGATCAATAAAATATCTATACATACCCAATAGCTCAAATTAAGAAAAAATATGAACTTTGATTTTTAATTTATCACTTAAGAATTAAGATTCAGACCACCTTTCATAAAGTTGGGCCTTTAAAATTTGAGATAGTTAGACGACTTGTAGACTGAAGTTTTGTTTTAAAAAATCAGTTCATTTCAAAACTGCTTTCTGTAAAATTTTGTTTTTATTTAACTTTGCAATATTTTAGATATCTATCCTAAGTTGAAAATATAAATGAAAACCGAACCGAAAAACGATCGTTTTAAAACGTTCGTTTTGTGCATATATTTCTCTCAGGGTCAAATGTTGTCATAGCGTAAGAAAAGCAAATGATAAAAAAGAAATTGAGTCTTTGCCACAAACTCTGATTTTCTAATTACATTACCTATCATCTCAATATCTCAGACCTTAGATATTTCAAACGGAAAATTCTGTTACACCAAAATATCTAAGTTTGAAATATCTACGGTTGTAAAGATATTGGGACTTGGGAGTAGAAAATTTGAGTTAGTGAAAATTTGAGTTTGTGAAACTTCTCGGGTTTATGATAAACCTTTTTATAGTCAAATGACATCAAAAGTTTAAAAAGCGAACGAGGATATGTTCAATCGCTACTAATATCTCGATGAATCGCTATAATTACATTTTTACTCAATAAATTGTTGAATTGATATATAAAATATATACAGTGATCTCAACGAAGCTTTAACAGTAATGAAGTTTAAGTTTAATAAAAAGTCGAAGTATATAAAAATATGTTATTCCCTTTATGACAATTTTTAATAAATTATTAGCCTATATTTATTTTTTTCTTTAATTGCTAATAACTTTTTGAATTTAGCAGTTACTATAAACACAATTGGTTTAAAGGGACTGTCAGCGTAATTTCAAGTAACCCTCCATGCAAAGATGGCAATAACTGATTTACATCGGCACCATAACAGCTTTGTATGAAATATATTTTTTTTTCTTTAAACTGTTAGTTTTCATTTATGGCTTCTCCGCAAAAGTGATTTTCTTATTTCTTGCTTACAGGAAACAAGAAATAAGTTCACAGTAATAACTCTTTTCGAACCTTGAAACGAAAGTTATCTTCTACATTTTTGATCAGATTAAGGTTTCAAGGATACCGTTGTAAATCGGGCGTTGGTATCTTTGCATGGACTGGGTCAATTAAAAATACGCTAACAGTCCCTTTAAGGAGGTCTCTCTATTTCACTTATTTCTAGTTACTTATACTACTGTAAAATACCTCTTCAATTTCAAGGATAGTTGTGCAGTTCTTCAGCTGTACGCTTAACCTGTAACGAGCACGAGCATGTTTTTAGGATTCATTAAATCCCTCCTCTTCTCCTCCTTCTCCATACTACTTCCATTTTAATAGTTTTAATTCACTAAATATACAGGGTGTCCCACGAAACATGACAGTATGCAGGACGCCTTGAATGTCGTCTTGATTTTTGATATAATTTGCTGCATTTATTTGTCAACCTAATTTTAGAAGTAAATTTCTAGAGATAATAATCACAAAATTTCCCTTGTCCTGCCATTTCCAAAATGTGGTCTGCCTTTTTTGTGCTTTCAATATTGCCCGAGATATGAAGAATTTCGTTCAGATTTCGACAATTTTGCTTTTATATAACAAAATTGAAATCTGAACCAAACTCTTTATATCTCAGGTAATATTGAAAGCACAAAAAACGCAGACCACTTTTTGGAAATGCCAGGGCTAGGAGAATTATGTGATAATTGTTTCAAGAATCACACATGTTAAAGTAGATAGAAGACTAAATGTCACAAATAAATTCAAATAACAAAGACGACTTTCAAGTCTTCTTCCTATTGTCATGTTTCGTGGGACACCCTGTACCTTACAAGATATTTCTCTTGAAATTACTTTGCAAATGTTTAGAATAGTCAATTTTGAAATTTGTAAAATATCAGATTTTTGTGGAAAGCTCTCAAAAGCCCTTAAAAACGAACAAACACGATCAACAACCCTACTTGTGACAGATTGAAACGAATGTGGTTATGGGTATTGTTCTATGAAAAATAAACCGTACTACAGTTACACATTAATGCGTATTAGGTTTGAATTATGCTTGTAAATGTGTCAGAGCCAAAATTATCATTATTTAACCATTAATTAGGCAAATAGTAAAATAATTCCTTTTCTTTGATTTCATTTCATTATTTTTTCTTCTTACCTCAAGTTGCAAAGCGAGGTTAGGTCTTGGTTGTGTTTTGGTGTTATATACTCAAATAAATGGTTTCCCTGAAATATAAGAATATTTCTATCTATCTATCTATCTCTATTTCCCTATGAGCTGTTTTTTTCTTCTGTTAATATAAGATATAATATTGAAATTTGTTGCATTATTATAAACAACAATAATCAGTGCAATAGCAAACAATATGTTAATTCAGGGTGTTAAAAAAAACATGAAAATCAATTAAGATATTTCTCCAAATTTCTTTTATCAAAATAAAATCCAAGTTATTTTAAAATCTATTAAAATAATCTCTTTGTCCATTTTTCATATTGATTGAGACTCCCTATAATCTCTTGTTACCTTATACAGTTGTGTTATATTTGAAATTCGATTTTCAGATTTAGATACTCTTTTTTATTTTAGTTTTTTGACATATCTTAATTTGACCAACCTTTACTGTACTGCAAAGTTGAGCTCTCCTGCTGAGATGAGGACGACCTTTGATAAAGCTTTCAAACCGATCCACGCGTTCAGGAATAAATATCGTCTTTGCTCTTTTCTGATATATATAATCCAATATATATAATCCAAAAATAAGCTAACCTAAGATTTTTATGAGTCAACTGTCGACAAATGTTGTGATAAACTCACCTGTAAATCATTTGCAACGACATTTGAAGATGATATGAAATCTAAATGTCTTCTTCCAAGAACTTGCAAAATCTAAAAAACTGTGATTAAGAAAATAAGAGTTTCCCGCCAAAAAAGAATTGCAATCAAAACAGTTCTTACCTTTTGTTCCTCGTCAGATGTAAGGGCTTGAAAATCAAAGCTCTCCAGGTTTTTATAAGTTCTATCTACATCACAAGGAACATCTCCATCACTTTCAGATATAATTGGCTCTTCATCTACACCATGTTTGCCTTTCTCAGTTAACTGTGAATTATTGACCTCTTCACCAACAATTGATATATCTTTAAATGCATGATCTTTTCCTACTTTTGTTAAATCTATGTTTTCTTCTGAGGTTTCGTCAGTTCCTACTTTATTAAACTTATCCTTTTTAGAAACAGCATCAACATTTATAGAAGCCAGTACTGTCGTGCTCTTGGTCCCTTGAGCAACTAGTTCTTTTTCATTGATCTCACTTGGAGCTAGTGTTGAGTTAGCTAACCCATCAGAAACTAGTTCTTCTACATTGATCTCTCTTGGAGCTAGTGTTGAGTTAGCTAACCCATCAGAAACTAGTTCTTCTTCATTGATCTCACTTGGAGCTAGTGTTGAGTTATCTAACCCTTCAGAAACTAGTTCTTCTACATTGATCTCTCTTGGAGCTAGTGTTGAGTTATCCATCCCTTCAGAAACTAGTTCTTCTTCATTGATCTCTCTTGGAGCTAGTGTTGAGTTATCTAACCCTTCAGAAACTAGTTCTTCTACATTGATCTCTCTTGGAGCAAGTGTTGAGTTATTTACCCCTTCAGAAACTATTTCTTCTTCATTGATCTCTTTTGGAGCTTGTGCTGAGTTATCTACCCCTTTAGAAACTAGTTCTGATTCATTGATCTCTCTTGGAGCTAGTTCTGAGTTATCTACCCCTTCAGAAACTAGTTCTTCCTCATTGATCTCTCTTGGAGCTTGTGCTGAGTTATCTACCCCTTCAAAAACTAGTTCTGATTCATTGATTTCTCTTGGAGCTAGTTCTGAGTTATCTACCCCTTCAAAAACTAGTTCTGATTCATTGATCTCTCTTGGAGCTAGTTCTGAGTTATCTACCCCTTCAGAAACTAGTTCTTCTTCATTGATCTCTTTTGGCGCTAGTGTTGAGTTATCCATCCCTTCAGAAACTAGTTCTTCTACATCGATCTCTCCGGGAGCTAGTGTTAAGTTATCTATCCCTCCCTCATTGATATCTCTTGAAGCTTGTGCAAAGTTATCCATTCCTTCAGAAACTAGTTTTGATACTTTGATTCCTCCTGGAACTAGTTCTGAGTTATCTACCCCTTCAGAAACTAGTTCTGATTCATTGATCTCTCTTGGAGCTTGTTCTGAGTTATCAATCCCTTCAGAACCTTTTCCTGATTCATTTATCACACTTGGAACTATTGCTGAAATTGCGTCCTCCTCTTCAAAATTAGCTGAGTAAACTACTTCTTTTCCTCTAGAAAAGGAAGCTTCCTCGATCCCTTTTGGAGAAAATGGGTCTTCATTCTTTTGCTGAGCTATTCCAACTTCTTCAAATTTTCTCAAACTACTCTAAAGATTCTTAATCATGATATTGTAAGATTATTACATATTTAAGTAAATTGAGATTCAGGGCAATTCGCACTATATTGGTTTTTATTGCTCAAAAGTTCACATGATGAAAGGTTACCAACAAAGACTGATGAGTGGGGAAAATGTAACTCTAATAATATAACCACAAAACTTATAACGACAAAAAATATAGCCATCAAAATTATAATTATGTTTCGACCAAGAATATAACAACCACAAATATAACCAATCAAAAATGTAGCTAACCTAAAATTATAACCGATTTTTTAACCAAAAATATAACAATTTTGTTTGCCAATAATATAACCATTTCTTAACCATGCTTAACTAAAATTATAACTATTTTTGGACCAAATATACAACTATTTTTAACCAAAAATACGACAATTTTTTAACAAAAAATATAAGTATTTCTCAACTAAAATATAAACATTTTTAACTTGAAACTTAACCAGAAGATAGTATGAGAAAGAAAACCTACGTATGCACAGGACGCAACAAGTATACATGTAAAGTCTTTGCATACATATTGACAACGCAGATAAAAGCTATTTTTGGTCAAAAAATGGCTTCTTAAAAAAGCAGTTTAGTCTGTTGACAGAAGGAATAAAAAGTCCAGTTCAGGCAGCAGGGTCAGATATGCAGATGGTCGGACTTTTTCTCTCTTAAATAAAAGAGGAAAGGATGACAATAATTCGCACAGTCGTCTCTGAATTCTCCATGTACTGTGTATACATACTGTATCAGTTCGTTTCCCACCATTCCCCATATTAAGGTGCATTTTAAAATCTAATCTTGAGGTTTAGTAGGGTTCCAGATTCTCCTGGATATTCGTCCTCTTCTACCTGCTCTTTGAGTCCTGGATATTCGTCCTCTTCTACCTGCTCTTTGAGTCCTGGATGTTCGTCCTCTTCTAACTGATCTCTGAGTTCCACATCCTCTTTTCTCGCTTCTGTATTTCCGTCCTCTCTTCTCTGCAACTTATATCGTCCTAAAAGCATGGTAAATGGTCAATTTATTTTATCCAAAGATTTATCCATTTATTTCATAATAAAAAGGTATTTAGTTCAATCCACCCTTAAAAAAATATAAAATTTTTGAAAATGTCCTCTTTTATTTTCATAAAGGAATTGAGCTTTTGCCACAAACTCTGATTTTCTTATTTCAATATCGTTGCAACCCAATGTTGTAGTCCTTTAATATTTCAAACTATGAATTCTGTTAGATCAAATAATGTAAGTTAGAAATATCAAAGGTTTACATCATAAGGTTGCAAAGATATAGGTTTTACAAAAACTGAATTTGTAACAGAGACTCAATTCCTTTGTGCCTGGAATTTCGTATGATGTAAAATTAGAAATTTATAATTTAGACGATAACATTCCTTGCATTACATCCTTGATAAAAGTACCTTACTTTTAAGTAAAAGGAAACCTTCTTTTAAGTAAAAGGAACCTTCTTTTAAGTAAAATAAACCTTTTTTTTAAATAAAAGAAACCTATTCTTGCAAAAAGAAACCTATTTTATAATTTTTGGGGGCTTACTTAAAATATCATTAAGTTTTTAAAGGTGATCATTTTTTGTTAATGATCGGACAAACAAACGAACAGACAAACAGAGATTACAACTTTATATATAGATACTTTTACATACATATATACATATATATGTTTTTCATATATTTTTTCATTGAATAAATTGATTATATATAGATACACGGTGTCTCACGAAACATCACAGTTGGTGAATAGTTTTGAAAGTTTTCTTCCACATACTGTATAAGATATTAAAGACTTTCTGCCATTTATTTCTTTAAAAAAATGTTTAGCTCATATAGTTTACTGTGAAATTAATTTTACTATAATATAACTGTCACACAAAAAATGTTATTAGTCTCTTTAGTATCAATCAACTTATCAAATTATGGAAGAAGACATTTTAAACTATTCACCAACTGTCATGTTTCGCGGGACACCCTGTATATGTTTTTATATCTAGACTAAAATTTGTGACTCCTGAGATCACAAAATCTTTTTGAAATTTTTTTAAATTCCTTGAGCACGGGAATAAGTATGTATGAATAATATTATAAACCAGGGCAACGCCAGGTACTACAGCTAGTGTTTTATTAATATTATAAACCAGGACAACGCCAGGTACTACAGCTAGTGTTTTATTAATATTATAAACCAGGACAACGCCAGGTACTACATCTAGTGTTTTATTAATATTATAAACCAGGACAACGCCAGGTACTACAGCTAGTGTTTTATTAATATTATAAACCAGGACAACGCCAGGTACTACATCTAGTGTTTTATTAATATTATAAACCAGGACAACGCCAGGTACTACAGCTAGTGTTTTATTAATATTATAAACCAGGACAACGCCAGGTACTACAGCTAGTGTTTTATCATTCACTAATGCTTTCAGACCTAGAATAAGAAATAAGATTTCATTCATAGATATTCTCATGAAAGGGAGTGTTCGCGAAAAAAAAAGGGGGTATAGGCTTAAATCGTGCAAACCTTCGACACACTGCGCATTTGAAACTATGAATTCTGTTTAATTAAAATAAAGGTTTATGTCATTAGATTGCAAAGATTTAAAAATTAGAGTTTAAAGTTCTTTACTCTAATACACTTCTGTAATGTGCTGCAACTTCTTGTACTTTTAAAAAGAGAAAAAATCTGAATTTATAAAACATTAAAAAAATCATTGCATTAAAATTTTATTATAATTCCCTTGTTGACGTAAAAAAGTTTATAATTTGGACTTTGTTTGTTAGAAATTATTTCCCTAGGCTTGACTCAAAACAAGAATAAGTCTGTAAATGAAAAGGATTAATATGAATCCGGCACATGTCTTCAGTTTCTGCGCTAAACTGAGATAAATACATCTGTAAGATGAACTAGAGAGGACTATAGTTTATCCTAGACCATGATACAGTTTACTATCCTTACACTTGCTTTTATCCAACCTTTCATCCGACCTAGGAAATTCAAACATTCAAACCCGGAGATTACTTGCATTAAACTATAACTTTCTAATCCAAAGTCTTTGTCACAAACAAAAATTTTAATTCCTATATATTTGCAACTTGATGATGTAAACCTTTAATATTTCACAATAGGATTGTTCGATTTTACAGAATTCACAGTTAGAAAATGGGAGTTTGTGACAAAGACTCAATTCCTGTCTTAAAGATCGTATAATTTCATTAAATTAGGATTATAAAAATTAAAGTACTTAAAGAGTAAAAAGTATCTTTCATAAGAAAAATTATCAAAACTTTGAGCTCATTATTTTTCCAAAAATGTATCCTTTTTTTTGGAATAATTTATAGAAAATGGAAAATCATGACTTTTTTTCTAATCCCAAAATGAATTTTTGGCGTGTTCAGTTTATGTTATGGAGATCTAGATCAAGAAATAGTTGGAGACATTTTTGGAACTCCGAAGGTGAGCACGAAAAAGAATCTTAACATCAATCAACATTTTTTTTTGTAAATGAAGTGGAATAGTGTAGATTTTTATAAATTGTGAATAGGTAGATAAATGAATGTTAGGTACTTTCCCAGGTAATTTCCAAAACAGCAACTTCCCAAGTCTGTCCTAGCTGCAGTGCTCGGCCCCTATCTCATCATAGCCGCAGCGCTCGTCCCCTATACCTATTGTAGCAGTACCTCAGTATGGCTAACCTAACCTTTGAGAAGTTGCCGTTTCAGAAATTTCACATTTGGGAAGCTACCACTTTGGTAGTTGTCAATTTGGTAGTTGTCACTTTGGTAGTTGTCACTTTGGTAGTTGTCACTTTGGTAGTTGTCACTTTGGTAGTTGTCACTTGATTAAATAAAAAACTTTGAAAAAAAACACAAATCTTACAGAAATTATTGTTATCAGTCTGAGAGGTTCAGTTTTAAGTGAAAACAGGTTGTCCTTTTGCTGTGTATTATGTTTTGCTAAAAAATGAAAATATCAAAAAATATTTGAATATTCAGGGTATATCCTCTGACTTATGTATACCAGCTGGTGGGTTAGAAGTATGTTCAGGAAACGGAAATTGTTTGTAAGTTTTTAGTTTTTAGATTCTGTCACGTGATTTTCCGATTCACCTCGCATTTTTGTCTGATCAATATAAAAATGCAGGATATATCAATCATTTGTATTTTTGCTTCAGAAAAAAATATGCAGGAAGTATTAAACACTTGACAAGCAAGAAAACGACGATTGATAAAAATCGGATAAAAAGAAAATTTGAATCGGGCCCGACCCTCTTTAATTACAGGGTCACTTGAAATTTACAACATGGTGGACTTGCAAAGTTTTCTAGTTTTTTGAATAATTACATTTTTTTAAATAAAAGAAACCTTTTTTAAAATAAAAGTCAAGGATGTAATGCAAGGAAAGTTATTTCAGAAGTGTACGCAACTTTTGTACTGCAGTGTACTGTCTCTGGGCGGTAATGTAAACACAAGACGGATGTTACAGCCTGACAAGGGATCCATCGTTTACATAAAAAAATCAATGAAATATTCTGGTCATAGGAAACTATTATGTGAATTATCAAAATTATCAAATGTAATGCTTTTAACCTCCTCGGATACTGAACGAACACTGATGCATCTATTCTTGTTTACGAATTCCGCCCAAAGAGAACTGGTTTCAATATGTACGCAGAGTATACACGACCGCAATTAACATTCCTTGCATTACATCCTTGATAAAAGTACCTTACTTTTAAGTAAAAGGAAACCTTCTTTTAAGTAAAAGGAACCTTCTTTTAAGTAAAAGAAACCTTCTTTTAAGTAAAATAAACCTTTTTTTTAAATAAAAGAAACCTATTCTTGCAAAAAGAAACCTATTTTATAATTTTTGGTAATTCAGGTTCGGTAGTTGTAAATGTGCCGAAGGATGGAGTGGTCAATTTTGTTCAATTTGCCAGGTAATGAGAAAAATCTTAATATGAAAAATCTATCAACAACTATTTTAAGGTATATAATTCTACAACTTGTTCCATCCTTTCCTTCCGGATAGAAATATCTTTTTATAGAGAGAGGGAAGGAAAGCTTTTATCTACATCTGGCGTGCATCTATTAGAATTTATAAATGTGCATATTTGCCAAAATCTTTAAAATCTGCGAAAAGTAATTTCCAATTTGAACAAAAAAAAATAATTAATCAAAAATGTGTAATACCAGATGAATTTCAGTGCTACAATAATTTTAAAATCATTATTTAAATATCTGTGTGTATTTGAAAATATTTAAAACTAGCTGAAGGGTCTGGCGTTGCCTGTGAAAAAAAAATTGAAGAAAAAACTAAAACATTTTGAAAGAAAAAAATTTGAAAAAAAATTTCGAATTTTTTGTGTCTATAACACCCCCTGGCCATACATGAGTGTCCACAAAAAATGTCAGCCCAATCAGTCCAGCCGTTTGGGCGGCTATACGGAACATATATATATATATACGAATGTCTTGTTTTGTTATATAGATTAGCCAAACTATCAATTCTGCTAGATCAAATAGTTTAAGTTTGAAATATCTTAAGTGATAATAAATATTAAATAGGGATTAGAACATTTGAGTTTGTGGCAAAGACTCAATTCCAAATAGTTTAAGTTTGAAATATCTTAAGTGATAATAAATATTAAATAGGGATTAGAACATTTGAGTTTGTGGCAAAGACTCAATTCCAAATTGTTTCATATTTATTTTTATACTTTTTCATAATTTTTCATATTTTTTCATATTTTTCATATCTTTAAATATCTTTAAATATCTTTTCATATCTTTTCATATTTATTTTTTATTTTTTCATATTTATTTTTTATTTTTTCATATTTTTTTAGAATTGTCGAGCAGCTTCGACTGATACCTGTGAGAAGGTTCGAGGATGTGTTGAGGGTGTTGTATTTGATCAATATTGGAAACATTTTAAATCAGCTTATGAATGCACAACTAAATGCACTGGATATAATTTCATCAACCCATTAGCAGGTTAGGTTCATTACACCACAGGTTTAGGCCAACTGGATAAAATAAAATAAGATAAAGGGGGGGGGGGTCATATAATCTATAATTTAAAAATTGGAGAGAGGTGTTTTGAACGCGAATATTTTACAAGATTCCGATATGATTTGTTTATCTTAATTTACATAAAAAATAAATTGTTTTACATAATATTAAAAAAATAATTTATGGTACGTTTACTATGTTTTGTCAAGAAAATTTTCCCATTTAAACTTTTATACCTTTATACCTTTATACCTTTATACCTTTATACCTTTATACCTTTATACCTTTATACCTTTATACCTTTATACCTTTATACCTTTATACCTTTATACCTTTATTTATACCTTTATACCTTTATACCTTTTATACCTTTATACCTTTATACCTTTATACCTTTATACCTTTATACCTTTATACCTTTATACCTTTATACCTTTATACCTTTATACCTTTATAGTGAATGCTAATGAATTGTATTTCTAATACAGATGTAGACTGTGTATGCCCAGCTAACTATGACCCAGTGTGTGGACTAGATGGGAAAACCTACAGTAACAGCTGTGAAGCACAGTGCCAGGGTGTCGCTGAAGAATGTGCCAGACAATGTCCTTGTCCTAACTCAGGTATTTGAAAATAGGACAATGTCCTTGTCCTAAATCAGGTATTTGAAAACAGGACGATGCCCTTGTCCTAACTCAGGTATTTGAAAATAGGACAATGTGCTAGTCCTAACTCAGGTATTTGAAAATAGCACAATGTGCTTGTCCTAACTCAGGTATTTTGAAATACAAGAAAAACTTTGCTTTGCCACAAACTCAATTATTCTAATCCTTAGATCTTTGCAATCTTGGGTTGCAAACATATAGCGATTAGAAAATCAGAGTTTGTGGCAAAGACTCCATTTCTCAATGTGACAATTGATTATTGAACTGGAAAAAAATCACCTAGTTTAGTCATTAAGTGAATTCTACCCAGTAATTTTTGATAAAGGGATTTCTCTAGTTAAGTCCTTTAGAGTAATATTTTAGTCAACAAAAGAAGTAAAGACAAACAAAGAAAAAAATCTTGTAAGTAAAAAAATTTGTTAACTTTCATAATTATATACAATCTTTAATTATTTAAAATTTAAAAAAGATGTCTTCTCCAGGTTCTGTTTGTGAGTTCCATAAAAACCTTGAAGGAGACTCTATCTGCCCTCCTTACAGATATAAAGTTCAACCAAGGGCAGATTCTGTAATAGACGTCTTAGTTTACAGACCTCCTTGCTTGGTAAGAGAAACAAAATTTTATAATAAAATCATTTTTCTTTAATGAAATAAAATGTAATCCGCTAGTTCATTATTCTACTAATCCACTAGTCCACTAATCCACTCTTCCACTAGTTCAACAATCCGCTAGTTCACTAATCCACTAATCTTTTAGTCCATTGATCCACTTATAGTTTACTAATCCACTAGTTAAAAAGCCGCTAATCTACTATTCCACTAATTCACTAGGTCAACAATTTACTATTTCACTTGTCCACTAGTCCACTAGTTTACTAATCCACTATTCCACTAATTCTATAGTTCACCAATCCACTAGTCCACTAGTTCACTAATCCACCAATCCACTAATCTACTTGTTCACTATTCCACGGTTTCACTAATCCAGTACTTCACTAATTCACTAGATCACTAATCCACTAGATTACTAATCCATTAGTTCCTTAATCCACTAGTTCACTAAACCACTAATTGACTAATCCACTAGTTCACTAATCCACTAGTTAACTAATCCACTAGTTCACTAATCCACTTGTTCACTTATCCAGTAGTTCACTAATCCACTAGTCCACTAATCCGCTAGTTCACTAGTCCATTGTCCTACTGACCTCCACTTAATTTGTCCTACTGTCCTCCACTTAATTTGTTCTACTGACCTCCACTTAATTTGTTCTACTGACCTCCACTTAATTTGTCCTACTGACCTCCACTTTATTTGTCTTACTGACCTCTATATGATTTGTTGGTTATGCAGGCTGATGACCTTGAGGTGAATGTAGGAGTGTGGAAAGGAGAGACTGCTGTCAAGGTTAAATAAATCATCAAGTACAATAAATGGCAACGCAGAATGCAAACACTCTCAGTACTTCATGGAACTTGAGTTGTCTTTCTATTTTTTAGTTTTTGGGAAATCTGAAATTTTACGCGTTTCTACAAAGACAATATTTATCTAAGCTGAATCTTGGAAATCATATCAACTAGTTGGATAAAATGTCGTCTTTCTTTTTACATTTGACACTTGTGACGTCGTGAATAATTGGCCGATTTTTCTGTTGCCCTCTATTGTACTTGACACTCTATTTGGTCAAGATTGAAGAAGATGTAGAGTATACATATCCTAATGGTTGGGGGATTCTCAGTTACAAACCAGAGGATGTTCTTAATAGGGAGGAGTTTAAAGGTACAGTCATACTATATATACAAAGTTGTAATCTCTGTTTGTCCGATCATAACTCGGGAACCCCTGGACGGATTTGCCTCAAATTTTGATTGGGGAACTCGGGAGACCCACGGGAATGTTCTTAGTTTATTTTTGGGATTCTAAGTTGAGTGGGTCGACTTTAATAGCGAAAGTTCAGTTTCCCGGTAAAATCGTTCAAGTGCGGGAAAACGGCGGGAGTAACTTTTAGTAACCTTGGCAGCGCTGGGATCCCAAGCTAGTTCTATATAATAAACTTAACTACATGTATATTTATATGCCAGCTATAGCTGGCCAAACAGCTGGACAAAATTGGGTGACATTTCTTTAGGAAACTCAGGGTATACTTTTTTCGTCAAAAATCGTTGTTAATCGATTTTTTTAAATTCACTTTAGCTAGTGATTGATTAATATCTTCGTTTCATCCTTTGATTAGAAATTCTAGAAAGGATTTTGTATTGAAACTACAGGGTTACCGACAAAGGATGAGACGACTATACGGAATTTGTTTCCCAACAGGCCAAAATCAGCTGCTTCCTGTTTTAAATTATTTAATAAAGCATTTCAATATTTAAGGAAGACAACCCAGTACAGTACAGTACAGTACAGTACAGTACAGTCAGTATAGTTTCATCCTTTGTGGGTAACTCTGTATTACAACTGATGTATCTCTGCAAAAGAAATCCAATGCATATTTTCCCACGAAGCATGACAGTTGGTAAATATTTTTAAATGTCGCCTTCCATATCCTGTATTGAATATTAAAGGGTTTTTTCAATTTATTTCATTAAAAAAATCTTTTGCTCAAGTATATTTTACTTTGAAATAAATTTTATTTAATATGACTCCCATTATAATATTTCTATCATTGTCTTTGATATCAAACATCATAACAAATTATGGAAGAAGACATTCTAAACTATTCACAAACTATCATGTTTCGTTGGACACCCATGTATACAAGGTTACACTTTCATATCTTTATCGGTATTTATGATCAAAAGAAAAACCGTAGACGAGAATCATTTCAATCATTTTTAATTTAATTTTAATTTAAATTTGTATCTGTATCTGTATCTGTGCCTGTATCTGTATCTGTATCTGTATCTGACTCTGAGAAGATATTTGAAATAAACCAATCCAGAGAAAATGAACCAACAGTATTCTGACCGAAAGGTTGTCAAAATTCAAAATTACTCTAATTCCTCCAACTTCCTTCCCTGACCTTCTCAACGAAAATCTAACTTTTCAATAAATCTTAAATTAAGGTTAGAAACCCCATTAACACGTTTCCTCTAGATATGTAGTTAAATGGACTGTGTGCGTAATGTCAAGTGAACCTCCGTGCAAAGATAGCAATGCTCTATTCACAACGGTACCCCTGAAACCTTAATCTGATCAATAATGTGGAAGATACCGTCGTTTTCCTGACTAGAATGGTGTCTAATTCTGATAATTTCTCCATTGCTTCTAATAAGCAAGAAATGCACAGGTTACTTTTGAAGGGAAGCCGCAAATGAAAATAAACAGTTTAAACAAACAAAAGCATTGATATCTAATTTATATTGAATCAGAGAAAGCTCTGTTAAGGTATAGCGTTCTAAATCAGGCATTGCCATCTTTGCATGGAGTGTCACTTGAATTACGCTTACAGTCCCTTTAATGAGACTTATCTCAATGTTGGTTTGAATCAGGAGAGATGAAATACGGAGTAAGGGAAGGACACGGAACCCTATACTGGAAGGACGGATCCTACTATGCTGGAGAGTGGAAGGGAGACGCCAAGGAAGGAGAAGGAACAATGTTCTACTCTAATGGTGATATCTACACTGGTCAATGGACTCTAGAGAAGAAAAATGGCGAGGGAAAGTACATGTACTCTAAAGGTAAAAATAAATTTATACGATATTTTCGATCTGACAAAAATTAAATATTAAAACGATAAACATCAACCTAAAAAAATTTCCGAATTTAAACCCTACTCCGTACTAGGTGGGGAGTATACCGGAGTATTTAATAGTGGCCGGAAGAGTGGCTCCGGTAGGAACTATGTAATGATCCCGGAGACAGATTGGGAATATTTTGACGGAGATTATGTGGACGGATCTAGGAAAACCGGAGTATACAATACTTCTCTAGGTTATACATATTCAGGTCAGACTAATGTCTATATTGTATTTATTTTATAAACATCTCTAAATATAAAACTTGGTAATCTCTGTTTGTTTGTTTGTTTGTGTGTCCGATCATAATAAAGAAGTCCTTTGTCAAAATTGACACGGAAATGTTCTTAAGTTAGTTTCCAATTCCTGAGCTGAGTGTTGTTGATTTTCATAGAGAAACTTTAGATTAAAGACAAAGCTGGGTGTCCACGATAGTGTATTAAAAGTCTTAAAAGTTTCCATTAGCAAAGCTTCATGTCAAATTTTATGCCAAGTAATCTATTACTTGCCATGGTTGCCGAAAATTCAAATGTTCTAATCCTTATCTTTGCAGCCTAATGTCATACAATATTCACATTTAGGATTAGATAATGAGAGTTTGTGGCAAGTAAACAGATTATTTTAAAAATTGTTGTTGATAAATGAAAAGTGGTTTAAGTTTCCATATTTTTCACTGCGAACCCAATTGGTAGATTATTGGGATCGTTTGACATAAAACTAAATATCTAAACATAAGATACTAGGCTTTTAGGGCGCTTCGCGCCCATCTTCTATTTAAATAGTGAACATGTTCTTTTTGTTTACATTTTAAAACAAAGAAGAAAAAATTTTTGCGGATTTTAAGAAAAAAATCGCGGATTTTCAAGAATTAGGGGGCGGGGGTATATGATATGAATTTAGTGAGGGGCATTGCTTAGTAGGAACAGTAAAAAACCAGTTTAGGAATAGAGTGAACGTCTTATAAACTCCTGGTTTATTTAGGAGATTTCTCTACAGCATCCGGAAGTTATAACGGAACCGGAAGCTATATCTGGGCTTGTGGTAGGAAATATCAAGGAAACTTTATTAGTGGATTACCGAGTGGTCAGGGGGTTCTAACATTCCCTCAGGAAATTCATATTTCTTGTATTTAACTTTTATTTTATCTTATTAGGCTTCTAGGAAGCTTCGCGGCCATCTTTCTTCTTTTTATTATTTCTTTTACTTCAAAATATTTGTTCTTGAATTTTCAATCAATCAAAAACATAATTCAGAAAAGATATTGAGTCTTTGCCACAAACTCTGATTTTCTAATCCCTATATCCTTGCAACCCAATGTTGTAGACCTCAATTATTTAAATCTATAAATTCTGTTAGATCAAATAATCTAAGTTTGAAATATAAAAGGTTGCAACTTGCAAAGATATTGAAATTGAAAAATTTTGGTCTGTGACAAAGACTCAATTCCTTTTCCTTTATATTGAATTTTCTAAATTGTTAAAGATTCAGATTTTTGAAGGGAAACCTTTTCCATCTTGACCACAAAGCCATAAACCATTCCCGGGGTCATGTGAGGTCACACAAAACGGCATCCTTACATTTGTATATTTTAATCAATTAGAAACATGATCTTATATAAAATTAACATGTGTGACCCATATAACAGTTCGCACTTTCTTGTTAAAATTATTAAAATATATTATTCTGTTTCATTCCACCATTCTATAGAAATGAGTTATTACCACACGCTATTCCCTATATTTTTGCAACCTGATGGTGTAAACCTTTGATCTATCAAAATTAGATTTTTCGTTCTCACAGAAATTATATTTAGAAATATAAAATGGCTGCATAGGGTTGCAAAAGATTATAAAGTTAGAGTTTGTGTCTACAACTCATTTTCAATTAGAGTTGCAGACGGGATTCTGTATCTTATTGCCAGTGTAGATCACGGTATTCTGTCTCTTATGATCAGGTGTAGATAACGGGATTCTGTCTCTTAAGATCAGGTGTAGATCACGGGTATCTGTCTCTTATGATAAGGTGAAGATCACGGTATTCTGTCTCTTATGATAAGGTGTAGATCACGGGATTCTGTCTCTTATGATCAGGTGTAGATCACGGGATTCTGTCTCTTATGATCAGGTGTAGATCACGGTATTCTGTCTCTTATGATCAGGTATAGATCACGGGATTCTGTCTCTTATGATCAGGTGTAGATCACGGGATTCTGTCTCTTATGATCAGGTATAGATCACGGTATTCTGTCTCTTATGATCAGGTGTAGATCACGGGATTCTGTCTCTTATGATCAGGTATAGATCACGGGATTCTGTCTCTTATGATCAGGTGTAGATTAAAAGCTATGAGTTAAATACAATAAATATCCAGGTTAAATGTTTGTTTTTGTTGCATTTCATGGTAATCCATTTTTTATTACATTTTTTATAATGAACAGGAAAATATATGAATTATCAGGGTTGGGTTTACACCGGAGCATTTTGTGCTGGAAAATTCCAGGGATACGGAAAATTTACCTGGAGTGAAAACCATTATTATCAGGTAGGGAAACTGTTATCAGGAAGGGAAACTATTATCAGGTCGGGAAACTATTATCAGGTAGGGAAACTATTATTATTAGGTAGGGAAACTATTATCAGGTAGGGAAACTATTATCAGGTAGGGAAACTATTATCAAGGAAACTATTATTAGGTAGGGAAACATAATATTATTAAGGTTAAAATATTTAGGGAGAGTTTCTTGATGGGAAAATGACTGGTGTTGGTGTTTACGCATTCGCTGACGGAGGACTTTACGATAATGCGTCAGGACTTTATTATCCAGACAGGTAAATGCAAATTTTTTAATTTCATTTTTTTGTTTACATCGGCGAAGAAACTCTTTAATGCAACGGATTTTTGATTTGTCTTTAATTGGCAATTTTTTTCAATTCTTACCACCCATAAACTTTTTCTCCACCCATACACTTTTTCTGGGATCAAGTGAGGCCTTCAAAAAAGAGGGACCGACGTTTATCAGTTACAAACAAACAGACAAACAGATAAGCAGAGTATAATGACGCAGTCTGCTATTTTGTACAATAAAAAATGGACAAAGAAATTGCCAGTTTTTTTTACGAATTTTAATCAATTGAATTCAATAAAAAGGAATTGATTCTACGTCACAAACTCAGATTTTCTAATTCCTATATCTTTGCAATCAAATTTCGTAAGTGTTAGACATTTCAAACTAGAAATTCTATCAGATCAAATAATCTAAGTTTGAAATATCAAAGGTTTACTCCATTAGGTTCCAAAAATATATGGATTAACAAATTTGAGTTTGTGGCAAAGACTCAATTCCTTTGTAATGGAAAAAACTCCACCACATTTTGGAAAGTTTATATAACACCATTTTCTTAATACACCACATTAACCTCAGTCCATGTTTATTGTGACACCCTTTACAATATTTTTGTAATTGGACTTTACACCTCCTTAAAAATATCCAGCGAAACGAATTAATTTGATTTTGTAAAAATATATATTTTTAATTTAGGAACAATAAATCTGTGTTCAAAGAGGGGCATTTTGACGGAAATATTCTTCGTGTTAAAAAGAGTTCAAATCAAGCTCAGAGGAAACCTTTATATGGAAACTAGATCTTTACTCTACAGTCTACATACAGTTTCAATAATAAATAATACATCACAACTTCTTCACGATTTTATTTTGGGAAAAAATCCTTTCATTATGACGAAATCAAAATTTTTGTTTGAAGTAAAAACACAAATTAAGGTGGTTTATTTCTACTTTGAAATTTGTACCTTCGTCACAAATCGACATTTTGCGGGGACACATAGTACAATATACTTGAAGTAAATAAGAAGGAATCAACATTTTCAAGTGCTTTATATTTTAGTTTTTAGATTTTTCATTAATAACAGAATTTAAAAATGTTCCTGCCATATTTTATAATGTTTAAGCATACATTTTTAAAGGGACAGTAAAGGAAAAATGAAAGGGGGTATAGACTGAAAGCTAATCACTTTAGCTCTCGATCGCGACCCATGAAAGTTTTATCTGATGTTCCTATCTCGAGAAATTGATTTACAACTGTGTCAAATTTATACGAAAATTAATATATATACAATTTTGTATAAAAGTAGTGGGTTTAAATAGATCAAATTCAGCAAATAAGCAACCAATCTGAAAACGATAATATCCCCGAGAAAGCTAATTATTACTTAGGTTTACTCCAATTCTAATTTTATATTTGTTATTTCTATTTTTAATAGATTTAATTCATAATATTATTTACACGTCCGAATTGCTTGACCAGAAAATCCACCAATGACAGTGCAGTAAAGTGGTCACGTGATACAGGCAGAGACACGTGATCAGTATACTGCTCTGCCATTGGTGATAGTTCTGGTCACGTGATTTAAGTTTCAGATTTTCTAAATTTTACATATATGAACTTTCGTATAATTTTAACACAGTTGTATATCAATTTCTCGAGATAGTAACATCAGATAAAACTTTCATGGGTCGCGATCAAGAGCTAAAGTGATCAGCTTTCAGCCTATACCCCCTTTCATTTTTCCTTTACTGTCCCTTTAAGGCTAAATGTTTGAATCCAATCATCAATATATTCCAGTTACCACAAAAAAGGTTCATGGTTAACCTTCAAAATCTTTATTTTGTATGTATTTGTAACAACTTTGAAAAATACTTACTCATTTCTGCCACTTTGTGTGACCTCTCCGCTGCCTTCAAATCTGCTTTTGTCAAACCCAAAACTTCGTCTGTAAGTCTGAACATAAATATACTAAAACAGTCCATTCAGAGGTTCCAAAAGTGACCTGTTTATCCAGTTTATTTTATTTGTAAAATTTGTTTTAAATAGAAAATAAGAACCTGATAATCATTTTACCGACAGCTATGGTTTCAATTATCAAACTGAAATAAAAATATGATTAAAATGAAGATATAATATAGAATAAAAATATGATTAAAATGAAGATATAATATAGAATAATAATATGATTAAAATGAAGATATAATATAGAATAAAAATATGATTAAAATGAAGATATAATATAGAATAAAAATATGATTAAAATGAAGATATAATATAGAATAAAAATATGATTAAAATGAAGATATAATAAAGAATAAAAATATGATTAAAATGAAGATATAATATAGAATGTGAGTCACAGTAATGTAAATATTAGAACTATCCCGTACTTGGTTCAATCTTTGGTTAAAAAGAAGTAATTGGCAAAATACTAATGTAACTCTGCCCGAGAACGTGAACATTTTGAATCACAAGTCGACATCCTTTTCAACTTTTGAAGGGAAACTATGAGAGCGTTTATAAATGTTCTAACATTAAACCTTAACTTTTTTATTTTTATTTAAACTTCACCTTTGGTTTGGAGTAGAACTTGAGTCTGGGTTCAGGGAAACCAAACCTTCAGGTGTCGGGGTAAACATACAACCTACAGATAAATCAGGTGTCAGGGTAAACATACAACCTAGAGATAAATCAGGTGTCAGGGTAAACATGCAACCTAGAGACAAATCAGATGTTGAGGTGAACATACAACCTAGAGATAAATCAGGTGTCGTGATAAACATACAACCTACACCTTCAGGTGTCGTGATAAACATACAACCTACAGATAAATCAGGTGTCAGGGTAAACATACAACCTAGAGATAAATCAGGTGTCAGGGTAAACATACAACCTAGAGATAAATCAGGTGTCAGGGTAAACATGCAACCTAGAGACAAATCAGATGTTGAGGTGAACATACAACCTAGAGATAAATCAGGTGTCGTGATAAACATACAACCTACAGATAAATCAGGTGTCGTGATAAACTTACAACCTAAAGATAAATAAGTAATTTCTAAACTTCATTTTTTATAAGACCTCTTTGAAAATATGAATTACTTAAAAAATAGCTCAAAAAATATTTGTGAGAATTAAGATTTTAAAAAAAACAATCCACATTTATTTGATTTAGTGAATCTTATATTATTGTAATGATTGCTGTTGTTATAAGTTAATACGTTAATAAGTTAATAAGTTAATAAGTTAATAAGTTAATAAGTTAATAAGTTAATAAGTTAATAAGTTAATAAGTTAATAGTTAATAAGTTAATAAGTTAATAAGTTAATAAGTTAATAAGTTAATAAGTTAATAAGTTAATAAGTTAATAAGTTAATATTACCAAGTAAAAGTTTTCTTCTAAAAGTTTTATCCTCTATAGGCAAGTCTTTGATATAAATAATGACATATATCAAGATTTTGATTTAAAAAAATACGATCTTTCAAATGAATTGAGTCTTTGCCACAAACTCAAATTTTCTAATTTCTATATCTTTGCAATATCATCAGTTTTTGTTATTTCAAGCTTAGATTATTTGATCTAACAGATTTCATAGACTTACAGTTTGAAATATGTAACTGGTTTGGTTTGTAGAAATATAAGCTATTTGTTCAGTTATTACTTTTAAAATAATAATTTTCAAAATCTTTCTATTTTCCCTAGCAGCTGATCCTTCTCAAGTAGATTTTCAATGGCAACATCAGAGGGAACATAGATCTCTAATATCTCTAGAAATACAATTTGAAATTTATGAAATTTAGATCCATGAAACTGTGCAGTATGAAGACGTCATTTAAGTAATCTAATGTGCACGTTTTTAATGATGTTAATTAGCAAATAGTTTTACCAATAGCTGGAAATTCAATAGCTGAAATTGGTGTATGTACGCAGATCAGTTGCTGTGTTTATTGTTTAATGTCAAAGATAAATAAATAAACATAGATAGCTTATGTACGCAAAATCACTAATAATTGTACAGTCCGTGAACTCTCACTTCTAGTGTTCACAGTCAGGGGGCGGAAACGTCAAGTGTTTGTTTCTGTACCAAAAGAGGGTGCGTGTGTCATAAGGAACCGAAAGTTGTACTGTCAGTGTATACAGTACAGAAGAATCTCGTTATATTTGTACAGTCTAGGCAAGTACATTTGTTTATTGTTAATTGTTTACTTAAAAATAAGTTCAACATATATGTATTATATTTTTTATATATTTTAGTCAACACTGTAAGCCAAATTTTCATGCAAAGAAAAGAATATAATTTGATTAAAGTTTACAATAAACTACTCGTTAAATTCAAGCTTAATTAAAATTGACGACATTTTTCTGCACTGTCCTTGACTGTAATGATGTTGTGTGTCTGTACCAAAAAAAGTGTGTGTGTGTGATAAGGAACCTGTCTGCAAAGCTGTGCACCTGGCTTTCTCATGCCAGACCAGCGCCATCCCTTTATTCTTATTCCCTGGTCAAAGTGTACTTCAACGACAAGCAGGGGGGTTTGGTGTTTTAATGGATTTCATGATTATATTATCACTATAATGATTTCTTCTTTGTTTAGCATATTGAATTCAATATAAATTAAATGTCATATATTTAATTTAAGTTCTGAAATATTTTTAATTTGCCCATACCGGGCAAGGGTGGTTTCTGGATTTAAGTAAGGCCAGGATTAACCATTACGGCGCCTGCTTTGTATTTTAAATACTGTTTTCATGTACCGTTTTTCTTAAAAATACAACCAGAGCTGGGAACTTTTGAATGGTGGATATCGGGATTAATGCTTGATCCACTCTTTTTCTTAATCTCCAGATTAAATAATGCTTGTTCTCCTCAGTACTCAATGAGATAAGTACAGCCAATATACACAACCAACCAACCAAGGTAATCTATAAGTTAATGGAATATATTTAAAACATCTCTGTACATTTGTAGCTAGTAAGTTGAAAAATGTCGTCTTATGCGCAATCTATCTTGTTTAATGTTCATTGGACCATTTAAAATCAAAGCTTGAGTCGTTTTCCTATTCTACAGTTTTTCACTGTATTAAAATTTTATAGGAACCCACAACTGCTGCTGCTATACCTGGGTCACTTTGTGGACAGGTTTGGATACATTTGAACTGATTGCTGAACATGTTCATTGTTCCTCCACAGCCATTGTACCAATACTGAACACATCTAAACATTTGAATTGATTGCTGAACATGTCTACAGCTCCTCCCCATTAAAGTAAAGGGATGGGCGATAGGGGCTCTGCCCTTCCCCCTCCCTTTGAATCAGTTTCCAGGGGGTTCTACTGCATTTTGACCAAAATCTATTTTTAATATCACAAATCAATTTTATGAATCAAGATATAATCAATTATAGGTATTTCTAATTGTCTTAAATTCAATTCATGTGGAATGTCTAATTTTAAGTGAACCTCCATGTTGAAGAGTCGAATATCCAATTGACAACGGTACCCTTTAAACCTTAATCTTATTGACAATTAGGAAGACATCGTCGTTTTTCTCTCTTGAAAAGAACTTCCCCGGCTGTACCGGTACCAGTACAAACGTCGGACCCACAAACGTCGGACGGTACAAACATAAGATTTACAAACGTCAGACAGTACAAACGTCGGACCAGTACCGCTGTACCATGGAGAATTGAACATGCCACTCTATAAAAGAAGTTCACTTAAAATTAGCTCTACATTCATTTTAATGAAATTAACAACATGCAGTAAACCCTGCCTCCTTAAAGCGTTGTTGAAAGTCCACTGTGGAATTCTATTTGAACAGTTGGTTGGTTTAGCCGGATGTGGAGAGCAGAGCGAAGAGAACGGCCGGGTACTAGCTGGGGTCATCTAGAAGTCAGATGGGGTTTCAACAAAGTATTTTTAAATGAATCTCAGTGGCGTAAATATTAGTAACTTGATCTCCATTCTCCATGTCCATGATTACCATTAAAAGGAAAAATGTAAAAAATAATCTTACTCAATTAACTTTAACAAAGTAGATAAATTTTACCTAAAAATCGAATTTTTTAATGCAATAGCGTACTTGCACTTTATGTCAAATTAAGTATAAAGCATCTTCTTTGAATAAAATGTTAAAATATCAAGATTATTAAGAATTAAATTTTAAAAAGTAAGTTTCTCTTTTAATATAGTGAAATTAAAATATATACCTAGTACATTGACGACAAGAAAATTTTAGAAATTAGAAATTAGAATATAAACAAAGACAATATTTTTTCAAAGTCTTGCAGAGGAGCTTTACTAAAGATTTAAAAAAGTAACATCTTTTTCCTCTTTCCTCTTAAAGTAAAACTATTTTTTATGTTACTTAAAATAAATTCAATTTTTTTAAAGATCTTTGAAGTTCATTTTAAGTGAATACATATAAATAATGAAGGGTATAAAACAAGGTGAAAGCTGAAAAGTAGGAAATGAATTGCCTTTATTTGATGGAGTTTGTAAATTGCAGAAATGAGTGGAGAATGCAAATCAAACCCAACTAAAACCACTAATTTGATATGCATCATGCATGATATTTTGCTAGGGGGGGGGGGGTTTACAAAAATTTACCCCCCCCCCTACAGAATCCTTTTTTACGCCCCTGATGAATCTTGATTAAAAAATCTTCTCGCTAGACAGACACCATTCAAAAATTCTTTTGTTTCATTTCTTTGATCAAGAATTTTATCAGATTTGTTTAGTCCTTTGTACCTCTGCACTTGTTTCCTTCTTCCAAACACGGTTGAAGAGGTTAGCTGACCTGCTGCGAAGAACTGTTTGAACAGGATCAGGGATGGGTGGTATCCAGGTTGTATAAAGGAACGGAGACGGGATTGGTGGTATCCAGGTTGTGTTAAGGAACGGAGAAGGGATGGGTGGTATCCAGGTTGTGTTAAGAAACGGAGACGGGATGTTTGGTATCCAGGTTGTGTTAAGGAACGTAGAAGAGATGGGTGGTATCCAGGTTGTGTTAAGGAACGGAGAATAAATCTGAATATTGCCGATACCTAAATAAACAAGTTTTTTCAATAGAGCAGAATGGAACGAATGTGAAAAGGGAAAAAATAAGCTTAAAATAATAACATGTTCAAGATCTCAATCTTTATTTAATCTACAGATTAATTAAATCTTTTTTTTCGAAATCGCATGAAGAGTGTCATTTGAAAACGAACAACCAATCAGAAGCCAGAGAATTTGCGTTCAACCAATGAAAGAACAGAGATTAATTGCTGATGACAAAATCAAGAGTTCAAGCAGATTCTGAGTAAATTCAAAAGCGCCCATTGTAGATATCAAGATCAAGCAATCAGAATTATGGATTCAACACAAATGTTCATGGCTCAGGGTGAAATAGTTATAGACTACAAAATCCTGAGCAACATCTATATGTATAAAGTTGTAATCTCTGTTTGTTTGTATGTCTGTTCCTAACTCATTAAGCCCTTGACCGATTGGTCTCAAATTTTGATTCGGCAACTCGGTAGAACCATAGAATGTTGTTAGCTTGGGCTAACGATTCTAGTTTAGCTGGTTAACTTTTATTGCGAAATTATAATTTCCAGGCCAAGCTTCTTTTTCAGCTAGTTTTCAATAAATTAAAAGAAGCAAAGATAACAAAGTTTTCACTGACAATTGGTTATTATTGTATTAGTTCCTAATATCAGTTTATATTTTATATAATAACATAAATCATCTAACCTTCAAGTCTTCTTTAGCTCTACGTTTTCAAATATATCTTTGATATTTAAAAACTATTTAATGAGAAAATGTGCACGAATTGTGATCTTTTTCTTAACACACTTAGTAATTAGCTTGCTATCAACAATCATAACATATCTTTATGTCGTTTCTTATTTCTCGTGTTTAGTAAGTCACCCTGTCACAAAACTTTTAACGTTTAAATAACTCCCCTTTTTTCCTTGAAATAGTAAATGTTATGGTTTGAAAAATAATATAGATTATTTATCAAATTGCTGATGTTTGAGTTTTGTGTAGTTCAGATGTCAATTGTTATCAGTAGGGTTGAAATAATAATCTTTCCAACTTTCATCAGAGATAAAATATTTTTAGATTTTTTAGATTTAGGTTCATGAAGCTTTCCTGGAAACAGGATACAGGGTATGCAAAGCCTAAAAAGTAGGTGAATTTCAAAAGTAGACCATTGCCATTTTTTATGCTGATCAGTATTTTGTTCTGTAAAAAAACAATAAATCAGCCGAATCTAAGCTATACTGAACTAGGAACGGCCAAGGTATTTTATAAGTAAAGGAATTGAGTCTTTGACACAACCTCGCTCAAATAGTCTTTTCCTTATTTTTTTGCAATCAGATGGTGTAAACCTTTGATATTTTAAACTTAGACTATTTGATTGTACAGAATTCATAGTTTGAAATATCTAAGGTCTCTGAATTTGAGTTGAAATTCTAGGGAATAGAAAATTATAGTTGGTAGCAAAAACTCAATTCCTTTCTTATCCTATTTTGAAAACCTCGGAAGAACAAAATTATTCTCTGTCTGATTCGAAAATCTATCATTAATCCGTTGAAATTCAACCTAGAGAGCAGTGAGATTTTCGATCTTCATAGGCAGGATATAGAGTAAAACAAGGATTTCATGATTTCTAGGTTTATAGTTCAAAATTCAAGATTCAAGATTCAAGATTAAAGATTCAAGATTCAAGATTCAAGGTTCAAGATTCAAGATTCAAGATTCAAGATTCAAGATTCAAGATCCAAGATTCAAGATTCAAGATCCAAGATTCAAGATTCAAGATTCAAGATTCACAATTCAAGATTCAAAATTCAAGATTCAAGATTCAAGATTCAAGATTCAAGATTCACAATTCAAGATTCAAAATTCAAGATTCAAGATTCAAGATTCAAAACTAATTCTAATGTTGTGTAAACTGTAATACAAATCTTATCTATTAGCTCCCGGATAAAAAGATAAATAAACTAACTTGTATAAGTTGTGTGGGTTGGCAGGGTTGGGTGGGTTGGCAGGGTTGGGAAAGAAGAGGGGGAAGGACGGGTTGGAAATGAGAAGATTGTATTTAAGTTGCTGAGGAGTAGTATCAGTGTTTTCGGTTTCATTTTTATCTAAGAATAATACGATGAAATAAATAAAGAATTAGTTTAATTTTCAAGGATCAGGGTTACAGGGGAAAAAATGTAAGGATATAATATTACAGTGTTACAAGAATTGTGTAAGAATTGTTGTGTTCATGAGGACACAATTGTTTACATTTATCGAGGGATATAGTGTGTACTTGTTCATGAACACAATAAACACAAGGATGTAAAAAATGCAAAAATTCAAAGATACAAGGATGCAAGAATAAAGGAATAAGGAAACTAGGATATGAGGATACTAGGATATAAGGATACGAACAAGGGTATAAAGATACAAGGATATAGGATACTAGGATATTAGGATGCAAGAATAAAGGAATAAGGAAACTAGGATATAAGGATACTAGGATATAAGGATACAAGGATATAAGGATACTAGAATATAAGGATACTAGGATATAAGGATGCAAGAGTAAAGGAATAAGGAAACTAGGATATAAGGATACTAGGAAGGATACAAGGATATAAGGATACTAGTATATAAGGATGCAAGAGTAAAGGAATAAGGAAACTAGGATATAAGGATACTAGGAAGGATACAAGGATATAGGATACTAGGATATAAGTATGCAAGAGTAAAGGAATAAGGATACAAGGATATAAGGATACAAGGATATAAGTATACAAGGATATGAAGATACTAGAATATAAGGATGCAAGAATAAAGGAATAAGGAAACTAGGATATATGGATACTAGGATATAAGGATACAAGGATATAAGGATACAAGGATATAAGGATAGAAGGATATAAGGACACTAGGATATTAGGATGCAAGAATAAAGGAATAAGGAAACTAGGATATAAGGATACTAGGATATAAGGACACAAGGATATAAAGATATAAGGATGTAATGATACTAGAATTTAAGGATACAAGGATAAAAGGATACTAGGATATTATGATACTAGGATATAAGGATACAAGGATATATGTATACTTGGATATAAGGATCCAAGGATATAAGGAAACTAGGATTTAAAAATAAGGATACAAGGATATAAAGATACAAGGATTTAAGAATACTAGAAAATAAGGAAACTAGGATATAAGTATACTAGGATACAAGGATCCTATATGGATATAAGGATTCAAGAATATAAGTATAACAATATATACTAAAGTACATAAGGATATCAGCTGATATAAGGATACTGTAAAGATGTAAGGATATAAGGATACTAGGGTACAAGGATACAAGGATAAAAATACTAGGGTATAAGGATACAAGAAAGAATAAAAAGATACAAGGATATAAGAAATAAGACTAGGGTACACGGAGACAAGGAAAAATACAGGGATCCAAGGTTTTAAGGGTAAACGGATACAAGGATATAAGGATATAAGGATAAACAAACAGGAGGGAACTAGGATATCGGATTTTAAATTGTATAGGATAAAAAGGTTTAAGAGTACAAGAGTACTAGGATATGGAATAATTAAAAAATGAAAGGATAATAGGAATACACAGATACAATGAATGGTTCACAGATAAAATACTGACTGAAGAGTGAAGAGTGAACAAAATGAATGAAACGCCCTCCCTCCCCCTTCATGGTTTGTTTGCATGACAATTTTATTACACTGAGTGGAAGCCAAGGGATTTTTTATGAAACACAGTGAAAGAATTATATAGCCTCGATAAACCAATATTAGGCTACCGTGACATATTTATATAAATCATAGATTCTGAGCTTGGGAAGAAAACAATCTTGAAGATCATGGATGAAGTTGACAAATTGTAGAGATGAAAAACTAATTAAAGTGATAAGGGAGGAAAGGGGAGTTTGGGAGCTGGGAGGGTGCTTTGTATTAGGGAGGAAAGGGAGCTTAGGAGTAGGGAGGGTACTTTTAGGTGATAAGGGAGGAAAAAGAAGATCGGGAGCTGGGAGGGTGCTTTGTATTAGGGAGGAAAGGGAGCTTAGGAGTAGGGAGGGCGCTTTGAGTTGAGAGGGAGGAAGAGGAGGTTGGGAGCTGGGAGGGTGCTTTGAATTAAAGAGGAAAGGGAGCTTGGGTGTAGGTATTGTGTTCTTGAATATGAGAATGGGAGCTTGAATATTTACGGCACATCTTGTACAATACATTGTACTATTTACGGCACATCTTGTACAATACATTGTACTATTTACGGCACCGTCTTGTACAATACATGTGCATTTTACAATGGTCGCCGTAATAAGATGGAATCGCAAATGATCAAAAATCAATCAAAAGTTGTATTTTTCCTCTTTTTCCTCTTTAACTTTTAAAAATGGACGAATAAACCAGGGTGTGCCCAAAAAAGTTGTAATTTTCTTAAAGCTTTTAAAAATGTGGAATAAATTCGTTGCATTTTTAAAATTTAAAGAGTTCCTAGAAATTAGTTAGTCAGTGATTGAAATCTTAAAATCCTATGCATAACTGACAAGAAGAGACAACATTTTAGAAATCCCAAGTCTAGGGGTTTTCATATGAATCGTATAAAACTTTAACTTTTAAATCATGTTGGCTAAATTAGTCACTCAAAGCAAAAACGATTTATAATGATTTAAAAACAATTCATAATTTTTTAAGGGGTTTTAATCTATGACATTAGTTGTTTTATATATTTAAAATATTTCGGGGACCATTGTAAACTGTAAACTGTAAACTGTAAGTAGTTAAAACAAAAAATTCTGATACTTAAAATTATTTTTTGTCATAAAAAAATTTGTTTGTGATTAATAACAAAATAATGCATTCCTTTAGTTTAAACTAACTTCTGTAAAACAACAAGTAAATTTACAAAGCTCAACTTTATCTGGAGATTCGTTTAAATCAACTTTCTGACATATTATTGAACTATTTTCTTTTAACGATAATAGTTTATTTCCTCAGCTGTCTGGTTGAACATAGTTATCCACAAAAAATGAGACTTCAAAGACGACTGTACTGAATTTATTTATTTATCCTTTATTCTTAAGTTTATGATTCCTTTGCCCGAATTTAATGAATTTGAGCCGCGTCTAAAATCTGCCAAAACCGGTTTCAATTGAGCGCCGGCTTAAATCTTGAAACATTGAATGCAATTTTAAGTGGAACCAACCATATTTGAGCCGCGGCTTAAAATTAAACCGCGGCTCAAATTCTTTAAATTCTCTTGCAGTACTTTCTTTCCCAGACTTTATTAAGAATAAAGGATCATATTCAACCTTTAGACCGTCTATTCAAAGAGTTTCCACTAGTCATTAAAATATCATTCAATCAATATCTATAACCCTGTATGTAAAAATAACACAATTCCGCAAGAGTTCTGAATTATATAGATGTAATAAACTATGTATGAACTATGTATGAAGTATGTATGAACGAAATTTTTATATTTTTTACCTTGATCTGTATCCAGATTCTGACTCCTTAAAAGTTGCAGGATGCAGGAATATAAAATGTATTATGCACTTTTTAAGGTATCAGAGACCTTGAATCTTCAGAGAATTCAGTGATATCCCAAGATGGTCGAGGTTCCTTTATTGCTCAGACTACTTCCAGAAGTATTCAAATTCAGAAAACTCGAAGATATTTTTTCTTATTAATTATCAGATTTGTTCACAATGTTTATCATTTCTTAACTCCAAACCGAGTTTTGTTCGTTGTAATCCTATACTATCCAAACCCTACTAAATCTAATATAATTCTACTCAACTTTGTATCTAATCCTACTCCATTCTGTATCTAATCCTATTCCATTCTGTATCTAATCCTATTCCATTCTGTATCTAATCCTATTCCATCATATATCTAGTTCTATTCCATCCTGTATCTAATCCTATTCCATTCTGTATGTAATACCATTCCATCCTGTATCTGATCGTATTTCATCCTGTATCTAATCCTATTCCATCCTGTATCTAATACTATTCCATCCTGTATCTAATGCTACTCTATCCTGTATCTTATCTTATTCCATTCTGTATCTAATCCTATTCCATTCTGTATCTAATCCTATTCCATTCTGTATCTAATCCTATTCCCTCCTGTATCTAATGCTAATCCATCCTTATCTTATCCTATTCCATTCTGTATCTGATTCTTCTCCATTCTCTATATAATCCTTCTCTATCCTCTATATAATCCTTCTCTATCCTCTATATAATCCTCCTCTATTCTCTTAGAATATATTATTCTTTCTTGATCATACCAAGCTTAACTCTTTAAATGGATGGGTACTTAAAATTCGTCTGGCCCTGTTTGTAACTTTTCATTCATGTATTTTTTATATATTATTCTAATGTGATCTGAATTTCCTTTTGTACAGTGCAAATAGTTTTCTTCTTAAGAATAACTTTATTTTCTGTCTTCTATATTAATAGTTTAATGTGTACGATAATGACACTAATTCTTGTGTCAATATATAATTATTACTCTGCAGATGTATTTTTGAAATATATTCTTGTAACCAGAGATCCTCTTTCAGACAATAGATTTCAGACCCTTCGTAGGTTATTTATAGAGTACACAACACAGGGAGGATTTATAAATAAGGAGTATAGCAGCAGATTAAACAAGACAGGGAAGATTTAAAATCAAGTACTGTAGAAGCAGAATACACAAGACAGGGAGGATTTAAAATCAATGAGTGAAGAAGCACAGTAAACAAGAAAGGGAGGATTTAAAATCAAGGAATGTAGAAGCAGAATACACAAGACAGGGAGGATTTAAAATCAAGGATCGCAGAAGCAAAGTACACAAGACAGGGAGGATTTAAAATCAAGGAGTGTAGAAGCAGAATACACAAGACAGGGAGTATTTAAAATCAAGGAGTGTAGAAGCAAATTACACAAGACAGGGAGGATTTAAAACTAAGGAGTGTAGAAGCAGAATACACAAGACAGGGAGGATTTATAACTAAGGAGTGTAGAAGCAGAATATACAAGACAGGGAGGAATTATAAGTAAGGAGTGTTAAAGCAGGGTACACAAGAAAAGGAAGATTTAGAATTAACGAGTGTAGAAGCACATGGTGAGTGGTGGCAGGGAGTTAATAAACATGGTAAGCAGAGGCAGGGAGTATAATAGCATGGCGATTAGAGGCAGGGAGTAATAATAAACATGGTAAGCAGAGGCAGGGAGTTTTAATAAACGTGGTGAGTAGAGGCAGGGAGTATTATTAAACATGTGAGTAGAGACAGGGAGTATTAATAAACATGTGAGCAGAAGCAGGGAGAATTAATAAACATGGTAAGAAGAGGCAAGGAGTATTAATAAACATGATGAGTGGTGGCAGGGAGTATTGGTAAACATGGTAAGCAGAGGCAGGGAGTATTGATATACATGATGAGAAGAGGCAGAGAGTTTTAATAAACATGGTAAGCAGAGGCAGGGAGTTTTAATAAACATGATGAGAAGAGGCAGAGAGAATTAATAAACATGGTAAGTAGAGGCAAGGTCAGGAAGTATTAATAAACATGGTGAGTAGAGGCGGGGAGAATTAATAATCATGGTGAATAGTGACAAGGAGTATTAATAAACATGGTGAGTAGAGGTAGGGTGTACTAAAAGACCTGGTTAGTAGAGGCAGGGAGTTTTAATAATCATGGTAAATAGTGACATGTAGTATTAATTAACATGGTGAGTAGAGGCAGGGAGTATTTTATACATGGTGAGTAGAGATAGGGTGTAAAAATAAACCTGGTGATTAGTGGCAAGGAGTTTTGTCAAACATTGTGAGTAGAGGCAGGGAGTATTAATAAACATGGAGAGTAGAGGCAAGGAGTATTAATAATTGTGGTGAGTAGAGGCAGGGAGTATTAATAAAAAGGAGTGTAATAGAAGAGGGAAGTAAAAAATCGGGAGACTGGTGCAAGGAATTATTTGAAATTAGTGAGTGAACTGAAAGGGAGTTTTTATAAATAGGGAGCGACGGAATTATAAATCTAGAGTGGATGAGGTTAATATTAAGATGTCTAGAGAGTATAAGGTAGGAGTGTGACAAAGTAGAAGTATGTAATATTAAACACTAAGACTAAGGAGTGTAAATTCACAAAGTATAGGTTGGGATTATCAATGTCTATTGAGAAATTAGAGAAAGAGAGTATTAATAACAATAGAGATTCAAGGTCAATATCTTTCTTTACCTAAACTCTTAATTAGGAAATTGACTTTTAAAATCAAGTTATAACTTTAAATAGTACAATGAACATGAGACACTGCAATTGTGCGGTAGAAACAGACCCATTTCACTAAATTTGTGATTTAATAGTAAAACTATTTGCTTTGTAACATCAAATACACATAAGCATTGCTATAATGTCGTCTTCCTATTCCATAGTTTTCTGGTTCTTCCTGTAGAATCAAAAACGTTAGTTTCTTTACACAATTCATACAGATGTTGTTAGAATATATATTTTCAATAAATTGCTGGTTACAAAATTAACAAATAATAAATAACGTATAATTGCAGTTAAGCTTCTAGTAAATCTAAAATTTTCCTCCGCAACTTAATTTCTAGGTGTTAATTGTGGCAAATATTTATACTAAGCATGTGGGAAACATTTTCAATTGAAGAACTAAAATATAACAAGGGTTTATAAATTATAATTAACAGCTTAATCAGCAAGTGTGTCAACGTATCACTTATTAGCGGGGTTATTTTAGTTTAGTTCTGTTAATAGTTACATTAAATAGAACATCCATTTAACATGAGGTCATTTATCATTAAAATATGATAACAGTTAACAATCAATGTTTTTTTATCTCTCAATTTTTATCAAGATCTTTTAATTGCTGATTGTCAAGTTAAGGTTAATGTAATTAAAATACTTAAAAATGAGTAAAAATGAGTTTTTTTTCTCAGACCACCATCGCCATACTTCTTCTATCTGGTAGTTTGGCCTTTTTCCCCAACCACAGACTGTTGTGGATGGTAAATGCATCAATGGTCACAGTAAGCGACTTGGTGTGGATTTGGGTGAATTTTTTCCCGCCAGAATTATACTTGAAGAACTTTTCGAACATTTTCTCCGTGACCTGTTTTGGACCGGTTCCGTATATTTTGAAAACTTCCTCCGTGTCCGGATAGTACGCGTAGAGTCCACGGAACTGACATTTTGTATCTCGGAAAAGAATTAGAAAATGGGGACAGTCACAAGCATCAATCTCTTCTATAACCCTATATCTAGTCTCCTGGTTGACAACTCCAGGGAAGACGACATGTTCTATAGCGTTGAGAACAATGGGACGGTTAGATTTAGTACTTGGTTCTCTGTAGTTACCCAACCTGCTCCCTCCGGTCCTGTAACCATAGGCTGACCAACCAGAGGCCGTGGAGGATATATCAGAGGCGCCGTCGTCGAAATCTCCACCTCTGCGCTGCCTTGAGGGCAGTGAACCGGGGCCAAGATAACTCACGCTTGAAGACTTTCTCCGTCCCTTGTGTCCAGAATAAGACAAATCTCTTAATGATCCTCCGTAGTAATATTCATCCTCATCCTCATACAAAGACGAGTTACTGCCACGACGAGCAGTATAAGTTCGTCTACTAACTAAACTTTCCCTTGAACCTCGAAAGCTATCGTTCCTATTTCCCTTGTCAATGGCACCGTAAGCTGAAGAAACACTAGAGTCTCGCTTACCCCTGGGTTGGGACGCACTCCTGGACTGTCTGTCATATCTACTAGATCTAGGAGAAGAGTCTCCGTATGGATCCGGAGTAGGATTTTTCTTAGGTAGATAGGATCTTGATCCTCCTCCAGGCTGTCCGCGGGAACCCATAGTAGCCAGGCTCATTGTTGATCTACTAGTCGGAGGTTTGTCATAACTGTCATTGACAGAACCTCGGGATTCTGACCTCCGTAGTTCAAGGCTGGATCCTCCTAAATGAGAGAGGTCGGATGTAGAGTTCTGGATTTTTCTATTTCTATCTAGACCTAGAACCTTAGGTCTAGTTTTCTTAACATTGTTTGCATGTCTGATTTTTGGGATGGGTTTGGCTGATATCGGAGAAGGAAAATGTCGTCCTTCTTCTTCTGCTTTCTCTTGCTCCTTTTTCATCTTATGATGTTTCAAGATTTCCTCTTTTCTCCTCGCATCCTCCTCCTTTTTTCTCTGCTGTTCCTCCGCTTTCCAAGCTTCTTCTTCCTTTTTTAACCTGGCTTTCTCTTCTCTTTTTATCTTATTTTCTTCTGCTTGCTGCTTTCTTCTCAAGGATTGCATCATTATTTTCTCTTTCTTCTTTGCCATCTCATTTGGTGTTGAGTCGTCTCCTGCAGCAAGCATGGTGTCTCCTATGATGAGCCCTGTAGCTCTTGCACTATCTGAGTCAGACAAGTCATTTAACTCAACCATAGGTTCCAATGGTATATCAGGATCAACATTAAACTTGGGAATAATGTTCTCTGAAGGCGAAGTGAGTTCGTCCGTGTCATAAGAATTCCAATGCGCTGACCCTGAATACTTGGTTGGGAAATCCTCACGAAAAGTTTTTCTGTTGCCTGACTTATCCCTCATACTTGAGTCTCTGTGATCACTGTCAAGATCTTCATTCATGTCCAACATGATCATTACAGGGTCAGAGGAACTAGGATCTTCTTTAGGAGTACGTTTACTAAACTTTCGTTCTTTTAAGACAGGTTTGGGTTTAACTTTGGGATCGTCATCAAATGAAATCACAAAACCTTTAGACGGATCTCCCGTCTCGTTCAAAAGTTCAGTTTTCATGTTGTTTAAAGTTTCCACCTCCTCATCGGTCATTTTGTTCTGGATTGCACTGCTGGGAAGAGAGTTTGGACCACTCAGTGACATTGGTCCTGTTCCACTCTCATTAGAACCTCGTCTTCTCTCCTTGAAGGTTGAAGATATGGTTGGCCTGTTTGTATTCTTCCAGGCTGTAGGACTAGTCTCTTGAACCGTAGTAGGTTCTCTTCCATCAGCATGCAACTGAACTCTGTAAGTTTTATCTCCACGTGTTAGGGATAATCTAGCAAGACGGTCTGTTAGAGATCCGTCCGTTCGAGATTCATCAGAGCCGCTAGATTTACGGGGAGTAGGAGAAACATCTTCAATATCTGAAGCACTCTCAATAAAAGAAATGTTTTGGGGCGCCATATCATCCATGGCAGGAGCAGGAACAGGAGCATGCAGTTTTCTGGGCACTACAGCTGGTAGTTTAGAGTCTACAAGATCACGGGATAACTGTCTAGTAAATGGGTTTGGAGTAGAGGTGTGTGGACCCTCTGGGCTCAGCTCCTTCTCTACACTCGGAGAATCATGGAGACGAAAGGGAACACTTTTCTGCGGAGTTGTGGGAAGATTGGTCCCTGATCTGATTGGGTTCGGACTCATGTTAGGATACGTGGGTGGAATATATTGTGAAGGATACTGATTATTGGTTGTATATGGAGGATGGGGCATGTACGGCTGTTGACCATTGTTGTACATGTTGTATCCAGAGCCCCCGGGCCCATACATAGGAGCTGGGGGAAGGGGGTTCCCCCACTGATCCCTCGGCATGTACTGATCATATCCTCCGTAGCTCCCATCATAGGAGTAAGGTCTCGAGGGTGGAACATGGCCTCCAGTCCAACCAGGACGATCGTATCCCATTCCTCCTGCTGGAGCAAAACTTATAGGTTGAGGTTGACCCCAAGTTCTCCGCTGTGTTGGATTTCCCTGCTCCGGACTAGGAGCATAGTAGGGTTGGGGATCCATAGGATGAGGAGGATAAGCAGACTGCGGTTGTTGCTGCTGCTGCTGTTGAGGGGATCTCTGCATCATCTGCTGAATTTGCGTCTGCTGAGCAGCCAACCGTTGCAGATTATTACTCATTTCACTAATATGATCGTTCATATGGAGCAGAGATTTAGAGTAAGGATCATTGGGGTCTTCATTCTTATTCAACAGGATCTTGGACGGAGAACTGTTTTCAGAATCCAAAGATCTTCTTTCTGATCTGTCTCCTGGATTAGTCCTGACACCAAAGGATTCATCGTTATTTGTATCTTTTTGTCGCATCATGAGTGCATCCATTTTTCTTCTCTCCTCCTCTATTCTTTTACGTCTCTCTTCCAACTTTAATCGAACCGAGTTAAGTTTATCATTCATCTCTTCGTTACTTGAATCTACTGGACTCTGTGCACTGTAGGGATTGTTTTCTGTGAACATCTTCTCGCGGTCGAAACTTTTCTTTTTTGGAAGATTTTCCTTTTCCTCTCCTTCCGTGTATGTAATGTGTATCCCAGAAGTTGCAAACTGGTTCTGCGTATTTGATTTCTTACGTAAATCCGCGAAGGAGGTTTTCTTTTCTGCATAGTTGTTGGAACTAGGAGAGAGAGGCGAACTGGCGTCTACGTGGGCGGAATTGTTAAGTTCAAGTTTTTCCATTGCATCCAGTTCTTTATTGTCAAGGAACACGTCATCTCCCCTTTCAACTCCATTCCCATATTTACGAATATCAAAAGTCTGTTGATTTGCACTTCCTCTTCGCTGAGGAGTGGCCACAATCTCGTTCTTCTTTCCAGAGTGCACTCGGAGTTCTTTGTCAGGGTTCCGACCGATAACACTGAGATTATCCATGCTTCCTCCAATGTTCTCCAGTGAGATCTGTGACTGATTATCGTTGGTCGAATTTCTCCGGGATCGTCGGCCAGCGTATGATGTAACGCTGGTTTGCTCCGACCGTTCGGAAGGTCGACCAGCTGGTTGCATGCTTCGACCTAAATCAAGAGTAGAATTGGATTTAATTAAGGACGGAGTATCAGTTTCTCCTCTCTCCTCAGATTTAGTGTCTTGGTTTAACCTTTCCTTTTGACCCAACTCCGAACCCGGAGACAAGGATCGGTGTGATTGCGCAACAGAGGACAGAGTTGGAATCATCCTTCCTTTCTGCACAACAAAGTTTTGTTCCTCTCCAGAGCTGGGTTTACTCTGGAACCTTGAACTTGAATCTAAGCTCTGAAACTGGATAATCTTATCCTTTTTAACCCCAGGAAGCTCAACTATGCTGAGACCTAGGAGTTCTAGGGTTGTGAACATGTCTGCAATCATACACTCCATATTTAGTTTTATAGAATTATGCATGTAGAAAATATCCTCGGTTGTTAAATGGCAGAAATTATATGGCAAAGTTTCAGAAATGAATTTTTGCAAAAGTTGAATATTTCGGAGACAATCCGCAACATTGGTCGGATCTTGAAAACTAATCTCCGTCCAGGAGAAATCGTCCGGACAGTAAAGGGAGATGACGGACGTGAGAGCAATACCGTCCGATAAATCCGAGATATCTTGAAGTTTATTAAATTTTGGTAGCTCCCTGATATTCTCCTCTTTCTCGTCCTCCAGCTTGACCCTGAGAGCCTGACAGGACTGGTTGATCCAATAGAGGGGTAATTCTCCAGGTTCTCCTGGTTCCTCCGGGTCTTTAGAGAACCTTCTCACACTTTCTAGAATCTTTCCATCCCCGCAGGCTTCCTTCAGGAAGAGGTTCATGATTGCCTCGATGACGGCCATATGAGCAGACATCTTTAAGGGATTCGTCTTGATAAGAACAGTTTCTGTCAGGGCACAGTCTGCTGGTTCACTCACATACACTCCTTTCCGCGCTACAGCCTGCAAATATTAATTTCATTTATAATAATTTGAAAATCTAAAATCTAAAATCTAAAATCTAAATCTAAAATAATAGAATAAAATTAAAATTTACCATTTTTAACACATTAAAAAAAATTTTCTGTGAAGAGTCTTTTTGCTAAATAAATATAAATTATATTTTACTAACAATCCCTTTACTAAATCGAATGACCGTCAGCTCCTGGTGCTGGAGCAGGGCCCCTAATCTACCTGTATAATACCCCAGTTGTTCAGATTATTCAGGTGTGGATCCTGGTAAAGGTGTGAGAGTGCCATACAGTACAACTCAGCTGTAGCGAGCGCGTGTACAAGATGGGGTTTCAAGCGCTCAGTGTTGTTGTGATCCTTGTAAAAGGGGTCCTGCACGCAAAAATATTCTTAGTTTTTTCTTCAACATTTTTTTTAATCCATTTTAATGAAGAATTAGTCTTAGGTTTTTACTTCAAAAAAAAAATTTTTGGCCCTAGAAAAAAGATCTTTAGAGGAACATCTTACTAATTACAATGAAAATAAGAAACGTAATTTTTGTATATGCTTATGTTTAAAACAGCTTTTTTAATGGAAAAAAATCAAGATAATTTTGGTTAGGATAATGAATATTTCTCGTTCCTGAAATTCTCTCGGGGGAGAATTATTATACGCCTTACTGACCAGCCAGCGGATATTGGCCCTCTGTTTACACTCAAGAACCTCCGCCTCATCTCGGTCACGTATCTAGAATACAGCAGTACAGTGCAGTGTACAGTACAGTACAGTTCAGTACAGTGTAGTACAGTACAGTGCAGTGCAGTGCAGTGCAGTGCAGTGCAGTGCAGTGCAGTGCAGTGCAGTGCAGTGCAGTGCAGTGCAGTGCAGTGCAGTACAGTGCAGCGAAGTACAGTACAGTAAAGTACAGTACCGTGCAGTACACTTGTTACTTTTTTTCATCACTTCATTACTTTTTTAATTTTTGGGACTTTTTATAGAACGAAAGGGGTATATTAATGTGTCTAAAAATTTGTGCAGGATATGTTATTCATATAAATACATGTAAATGGTACATGATCTAAGTAGATATATTTAATCTCAGGCTTGGTGTCTGCTTGTTTGTTTGTTTGGATTTCCGATCATAACTCATGAACCCCTGGACCAACGTGTATCAAATTTGAATAGAGGAACTCGGTAGAACCACGGGAATGTTCTTAGCCTGGTTTAAAAATTTCTAAGTTTAGTCTGGGTTGACTTTTATAGGGGAAACTAAATGCTAAATGGGTTCCCAAGCTAGTATAATGTAAAGGATTACTTTTCTGTGTAAGATTAAACTGTACACAGGATTTTTAAAATGTTTTCTAAATCACGTTTTTATTTCAACATCGTTGTCATTTCAGGAAGAGAGAATCACGAACTTGGAGAGTAGTAAATAGAAAACATTGGTGAAATTAGATTAAACCCACTTGTTTATCTTTAGACTAAATGCTTTGAATGAGAAATTGAGTTTATGCCACAAACTCTAAACTTCGTAACCCAATGTCGTATACATTAGATATTTCAAAATCTGTCTGTGCCCAAAACTCTGATTTTCTCATCATTGTCCACTAAACGCTACTTTATCTTCGGTCAGTGTACTCCAAATTACTGCAGAACGCACCAAAGCTTAGTTGAGGGTGATATCTTTCAACCCAATGTCGTAGACCTTAGATATGTTAATTTTTTAATTCTGTCAGATCAAATAATCTAAGTTTGAAATATCAAAGGTTTGCACCACCAGGCTGCAAAGATTAGAAAATTTACATTTGTGGCATTTAGACAAGATTCCGTTGAGTAAAATTGATGTATTTCGTTTTCTTAAACTAAACCTTTCTATGCAAGGGCGCATACAGGGGGGGCCTTTAAAAGTGGGGCGTAGCCCCCCCCCCCTCTAGAACTCAGAGCTTTCACACTTTTCAAATCTTAAACTCAAGAGTGAAGAACATATTATAAAATGTCGATTTTTTCGAAACAATGCTTTTTTCTGCTAGTTTTGTTTGAAGGAGAGATAAAGTATAGTACATGCAAGGTAATTGGACTGTATGGTTACCTTTAACGTATCTTTACTNACAGATTTATATCTGTATACGCCCTTGCTATTTAAATTTGAAAGCTTGAAAAGATTAATCTAAAAATTTCCAACCTCTGAGAATAAAAACACAAACTTGGCATTTATCACCGGCATAATATCATATTATCAATCTGACGCGCGCACTGTATATATTGTATTGTTGGACTGGTAAACAATAAGATTTTTAAGTGAAGTTTTAAATCTTTTCCGATCTCTGAAAGTTCAAGAATGATCAAGTTTGAACGCCTCACGCCTAATTAAAAATTATATTGGATATTTTATACCATTTTAATTATAACTGAACATTGAAAGGAATTGAGTCTTTGTCACAAACTATGACTTTCTAATCTCTATATCTGTAATCCAATACCGTAGACCTTAGATATTTCAAACTATGAATTCTGTTAGATAAAAAAATGTAAGTTTGAAATAGCCAAGGTTTACACCATCAGGTGGAAAAAATATAGGTATTAGAAAATTAGAGTTTGTTACAAAGACTAAATTCCTTTATATCTTTTTTTGAAGATCTAGAATAAAAACTCGACTGAAGGAGAAAGTCAAATCGATACATTACTTTTACTACTTTGTGACCTCGTATCTCCTCTAGGTTTGAACAATATAAGAAAAGAAAATTTATCTGGTTATATTTTAGAAATTTTAAACAGTTTTCTTTTCAATAGATTTTTAAAAGTGGAGTTAGGATTAAAAACATAAAATACGTCAATGTTGCATTCACTTTGCTTTAGCTTAAGGAGATGCCTCTGTTTCCGTGGATCTATCTTTTCCGGTAAAAAAAAATTGTACGTGCATACTGAAATTTGATACAAGAATGCAATTGATGTAGTCTTAGCTCCTATGACTTAAAAATGGGGATTTTCTTTTCTTTTCTTTTCTTTTCTTTTCTTTTCTTTTCTTTTCTTTTCTTTTCTTTTCTTTTCTTTTCTTTTCTTTTCTTTTCTTTTCTGTTCTTTTCTTTTCTTTTCCTTTCCTTTCCTTTCCTTTCCTTTCCTTTCCTTTCCTTTCCTTTCTTTTCCTTTCCTTTCTTTTCCTTTCCTTTCCTTTCCTTTCCTTTCCTTTCCTTTCTTTTCCTTTCCTTTCTTTTCTTTTCCTTTCCTTTCCTTTCCTTTCCTTTTCTTTCCTTTCCTTTCTGAAAATCATACTCTTGAGCCAGCACTCAATAATATGCTTTGTCTTTAATTTTTTTAATAGAGAAAAAAGTTTTAAAAGATGAAAATAGGTATTAAGAGTTAAAAAGCTGTAAGATTTCAATCTTACAGAGACTTTTGTTTGACGTGATATAGAAAACAGTTTACTAGTTAATTACCCTCTCCAACCTCGCCCTGTCGTTACGATAATTTTTTTAATTTGGTGGAACCATTTTGCAAGAATTAAGATTTTAGAAATAAGAACACTTTGAATTATATTTGAGTTATATTGGGGGACCATTTTTATAAGAAGTATTCTTTCAGTTTTTGCCAATCTAACTGAATTCATTAGAACTCCGTCTTTATCTCAAACATTAAACTCAGCCCACGCTAAATACGCCCCCGCCACCCCCCCCCCCCCTCCCCTTACTCCACCCAAACTCAATTATACAACAATTTGTCCAAAAAATTACACGACACAAAGTATGTACATTTAAAATTCAATGAATAATTTGAATGTTTGATAAAAACAAAAACGTATATAACCCTGACTGTAAAAAAAATTAAAATAAATATATTCCGATTTTTTTAAATCTATAATATTTTGTGACAGGACTAGGAGGCTTCAGGAAGAATTGCTTGAACAGCAATGTATGCATACTAACTAAACAACCAACTCCCTTTATTGATTTTGAAATTTTTGTTGTTTTTCGCAGGACTTTTATCGGAAAAGATAAAGGAGTTGAGTTTTTGTAACAAATATGACAAAAATATATAAACTTTTTTCGGACACTCCACCCCCCCCCCC